ATGCCATATAATCTTTTCAGGATCTTTTATATTGTTGTTTTATATTATTGTTCTATTATTTATAATGCTTATTTCTTTCCCCCCCCTAGTTTTATAGAATGCATTTCATAAAATAAAATAGTTACACACTATTTTGATGGAACACAAATTTATAAAAATCATCAATGTTCCATAAACGGGATATAAAATTACCTGAATAACTCCAGTTTCATTGTTAGCCAGCATGATAGATATCATAACAGTGGATGGTGTGACAGCTGCCACAACGTCCTCCACATGAACTGCCCCTGAAGACTTACTAACAGGTAAAAATGTGACATCTGTCCAAAAACAAAACAAAAAGTAAAATAATCCTAGATCAATTTTAACTTTAAATATGATTTCCTCTTGTAAAACACTGGAGCAGCCATCTTCAATTAGTGTGGGTGTATTAATGAGAAAATCATTGAAACAATAATTTTTTTAAATATACCTTTGAAGAGATGTTCGAAATGGTAGGAAGCAAAATAGGGGCCCAAGGAAGTTTTAATCACATATGTATGGCTGAAATTTAAATATTTTTTTATGTTTAAGAGTTTCTGTTGAAAAACAATATTTTGGTGTAGTGGATGCTTTAATGGCATATGAACTCTGCTACTTGTTGTTATATTCGTCTTAAAGGCTCTTCTCAATGGATCATAAGTACAATGCACTGTAAGATACAGGATCCAAAGTATCTTCTGACCACAGACATGCTCAAACCATGACCTGAGAAGCCGAAGGGGAGTGAAAAACATAGTAGAAAACACGCAGCCACATCACTGGAGATTGCCTGCTAATGTTCTGGAATAACACTAAGGGCACGTCCCAAGACAGCACTCGGAAGGAAATTGAAATAACGGAGCACCCAAAAAGATTTGACGCAGAATTTTTCAGTATTTGCTATTTAGATATTTTTTTTCCCCCCCCCCCCCCCCCAATGAGTAAAAGCACACACATGATATAAATATCTTCATATCGTTCATTATGAGAGAGTTCAGAGATAAGAAAGTCATTACCAGCTATTTCTTGGTCTTTGAAATGCTCCAAGACAAGTTTAATGGAATCATGTTCAATATTTGATGTAATGAAGTGAGGCTTGTTTCTTTTCACATCCATATCTCCAATGCTTTTTATTTTAGCTTCAAATGCCTTTTGGTAATGTTGCACTGCGGTTTGCAAAATCCAATTGTTACCCTGCAAATAAATATCAGGGTGTGAGGTAACTATTAGCAATTAGTACATAGCACATGCAAATACCATTTTAGAAAAAAGATCAAGTATTATTTAATTTAAAAAGGAAATGTCTGCCAGTCCACTCTGGTAAACTCATTGCCATAAAATCACCATATGTAAATTCATCACAGTAAAATTTTTATTGCAAGAAAATTCATTTATAGTAGATAAAGCTTTAGTAAAAAAGTTAAATTTTATACATTGTTAGTTTGGCTTATAGAAAATTGTTATTAATTTTTAAAATACTAAACAGGCAACACATTAATCTTTCCTAAAGTCATCTCACTATGGAATGTATTCCCACTTAATATTATATGGTCATCAAAAGAGAATTTAAAAGTAAGATTTAATTTTTCAAATTATTCAAATATAATTTTGTTTTTATCTCAGCTTCATTTGCTTTGATCTCATTTGTTTGCAACTCCAGACATTGATGAAAATTTTACTTAGATTAAAACTTGTACTTGTTTCTATTCTATTCTGCAGTTACAAAGGAAAATTTAACATTATTAAAAATGGTTTCTAAGCAGTGGTATAGCTAGGGTTAGTGTCGACAGTAGCAGGCCATGCATTTACCCCGCCCCCCCCCCCCCCTCCCCCCCCCCCGAAAATTCTGTAGATTGCAAAAATTGCCAACCATCAATGTAAGGGAAAAAATTGTCACTTGGAGCAGACTCCACTCCCCTCTGCACCCCCTTCCTAAGCCAGCGTTACAAAACTTAATTGTGTCTGAAAGGGTTCAAGTTGATGCAGGGGCCAAAGTGGGCAGTTACCAGTAATTTGGCCATGTGACATGGTATACAATGATCAAGAAATAAGATAGTGAATTACCTCTGTTCCTCCAGATGTGAAAATGATATCTGAAAAGCAAAATAGGATTCAAAATAGCTGGATAAGAAAATGAAGGTGGAAAAATTAAGTTTTAACGTGTTCAGTAAAATTGATTTGTTCGGGGGTTTTTTGTCTTATAAATTTAAACAATAAAAATACTTGTACATAATCATTTTTTGCTTCATTAAAAAGATACCAAACAAAATTCAAATCTACACACAAGAAAATATGTTGTGAATGGAGAAAATTACTAACTTAGAAATGTTACCTGTTGCTTTTGCACCTATCATACTAGCAACATGTTGCCGTGCTTCTTTGATAACATGATTTGCTTTTGTACCTAAATGAAGATTTAATCATAAAGTATTTTTTCAATTAAATTTTGTTTAATTTAATTTAATTTTAGACTTTAATAAGATTAAGATTTATTGTTGGTGTTTTGTTTTATCATGATCTCATCCATAATTGCAAATATATATATATATAATAAATTAGTATGTCAGGATTTTCTTACTAAAGGACCCGTCTGTTTTGCCAATTTTTTGCCAGACAAATAATCTGTGGCATACATTATAATGTTTTACTTTATTAGGCCGAATTCTCTTTTAACATTTTATCTATGGGATTATTCAGTAACCTATATCATGGCAGCTGGATGGATTTCCCCATGCAACTGATAGTGAGTGAGTTATAGCTTGAATAACTTCATCTGCAAGTGGAGTTGTGGCATTGTAATCTAGGTAGACCATCTTGGAAGCCAAATGTTGAATACCTGGAAAACAACAAAAATATATAATTAAACCTTTTTTTATTATAAAATGAAATTCCACCAAATTTTTTTACTGATCCAAAAATAAACTTAAATTTATTTATAATTTATATTATATATTGTGCATTTCACACTTTATTCCTTAAAGGCAGTTTGGCACAATATGCTATAGTCTATATAGTAATCTATATTCTCCAAAATCTTTACAAAATTAAATAGGCTAAACATCATCCAGGTTGTGTACTCTAGCTTACCAAAAAAATGCCTACGCCAACAGAAAAATCCAACAATTTACAATTGCTTGCAATTTTTTTTATTGGTAGTATCAGTAAGTTGTGTAGTGGTAGTAGGCCTATGTCACTATGTTGAAGTTAAATATCTATGTTAGGCCTATAATATAAAACTAAAAACTAAAATTAATAATATTTTATTTATTTTATATTTTAATAATGATACTAAAACTAAAATTATTTGTAATACCATGATTATGAGGCCATGACCATATTAATATTTCTTTGCCGCGTAGTATTCGGGTGCTAGCTTATACTTATACTTATAGTGTAATTATAGTATAATAGGCCTACTGGCATAATTTTATTTACATAATATGCAGTTTCAACATATTACGAGTTGACAATTTTAAATTTTGTTAAGGCAAAGCTTCTGTGTTGTAGAAGTGGGTCCAATTAATTAAATAAAAATAAAATTATTTAATGACATTTTGAACATTTTAAAATTAAAGTGAAAGTGGGCGTGGCGTACTGACATTGCTCTTCTGGGGTCATCCATAAAAGACATCCACACAAAAGGGGGGAGAGGGGGGTTCAGCAAAAAGTGGACTAAAGTGGACAAAGGGGGGGGAGGGGGTTTAGGACAAAGTGGATGTCCACATTGTAGTGTTTTTTTGAGTGCAGCAGTTTTGCATAAATTTACTGCAAATTTACTGCCCGATCACAGTTACAGTAGCATGCCTTTTGATCTCTATTGTCCATCGGTGGCTGGAAGAATTTCCAAGAGAATATGTTTCTGCGGTAAATATTTCCCATCACAGGCGGCAATGAAAAAAAATAAGGTCGTCCATTGCAATATTCCTGCTAGTGAACATAATATGGCAGACGAATCAGACGAAGAGACTGCAACTCAAATTGAATTAGCAATTGAAGACTCAAGAACAGATGTTGTCATTATACGAAACATGTTTGAATGGCTGCAGTCCGAATTTTCTGTTGATTGAAGAATGGTGGATTATTTGTTTATTACATTTTTTAATACAGTGATTCAATAAAAAATTTTTGAACAGTTATTATTTCATTTAGAATTTTGCCTGCAAATAATTGGAATTTCTAAAAAAAATCTTTGTAAATACATACTCTTTATATTGTTGCACATTTTCCCAAAATATTCATTAATTTAAGTTCGGTAAATTTTATGTTTTGGACGTTCACAACTGGGGGGGGGGGGGGGGGGAGGTAAAAAATGGAAAAAGGGGGGGGGGGGGGGGAAAAAGAAAAAAAAAAAAAAAAATTAATGGACAAAGGGGAGGGGGGGGGGGTAAAAAGTAAAAAAATAGCAAAAAATTGGTGGAGGTCTTTTATGGATGGCCTCTCTTTTAATTTGAGTAAATTATGAATATAGTTAATTATAGTTTACTTTGAGTTTGTTGACTATCAATCAGTATGAATTTGAGTTTGATGAGTGAATAGTTGAAGTTGAAGGTGAGTCGTCTACCACTATCACTAAGTGTAAGTTTAAGTCCAAGAAGACTACGACACCAGTGATGCATCTACCAAATCATGATAAATCTATCAAGAAAATAAAGATATTGCTGATTTCGGAAACTATTACTATATAATATATATATTACTAAGCCTAAGCCTAAGCAAAGATGATCCAAGTCCAAGTATTCGAAGTAATCAAAGCAAAGCGTATTCTTTTTGCTTACGATACGTAAAATAAATAAATCGATAAACCAATCTGATATATCTCTTCAAAAAACTCTCATGATCCGTTGAGTTTTTTGTTGTTGTTGTTTTTTGTTTGTTTGTTTTCTTTTTACATCTCTCAAGTTGGTTGTTATCAACTCTTCTGTATTAAGAGTCTAATTATAAAGTTCAAAGTTCGAGGATAACCTGCACTGTGCTTCGTGGAATCATGACACCGTCACATGCAAATAAAATGTTTCATCTTGAAACTGTGTCAACTCACTAGTGTGTAAACGTTTTATCATGATTCAATAACGCAAATATTGATGGTGTATACATTTATTCTTTATTTTTAAAACTTAATCAAAATGTGCATTAGGACAGTGTTACAATTCAAGTCTGTAGGTCTGAATTGTATAAGCTTTCGGAGAACACATTCGGACATACGAAATGGACTTGTTGGAATGGTAGGAAGAACACCTCTCGTTCGACTGAACAAAATCAGCGAAGAAACGAAATGCAATATACTAGCAAAAGCTGAAATGTGTAATGGAGGGGGATCAGTCAAGGATAGGGCGGCATATTTTCTGATACAAGATGCCATTAAAAAAGGTTTGCTGAAACCTGGGGGTACAGTTGTTGAAGGAACAGCTGGTAATACCGGAATTGGACTTGCCCATATGTGTCTTTCAATGGGTTTCAAGTGTGTAATATTTATGCCAAATAATCAGTCTCAGGAAAAGATTGATTGTTTGAGAACTCTAGGTGCAGAAGTTACAACAGTGCCAGTCTGTCCATGGAATGATCCAAACAATTATAACCATCATGCTAGAAGATACTCTGAAAGCTTGAGCAATGCTGTATGGACTAACCAGTTTGACAATCTTGCTAATAAACAAGCACATATTGAAACCACTGGCCCAGAAATATGGAAAGAAACAGGGGGGAAAGTTGATGCAGTGACTTTTGGAACAGGAACAGGAGGAACTCTTGCAGGTGTAGGAACATATTTGAAAGAAAAAAATAATAAAATTCAAGTTGTTTTAGCTGACCCTCAAGGTAGCGTGCTTTATAATTATTTCAAGCATGGCAAATTGGAAAGAACACCAGGTGATTCTATTACTGAAGGCATTGGCCAAGGCAGACTTACTGATAACTTAAAGGGTGCTCCCATTGACGATGCATCTGTGGTGATGGATAAGGATGCTGTCAACATGACATTTAGACTGTTGCATGAGGAGGGATTTTTAGTTGGAGCTTCTTCGGGACTGAATGTAGCATCTGCTTATGAGGTCGCAAAATCCATGGGACCTGGCCACACTATTGTTACTTGTTTGTGTGATAATGGACAGCGTTATTTTGCAAAGCTATTTAATAAAAATGTTTTAAAGCAAAGAGGACTTCTTGAAACATTACCTGAAATATATCATAAGTATTTACATGAAAGTTAATTTTTCTTGTGTATATTTATTTTATATTATATATTATCCCTGATATCATGTATGTATGATGTTGATTCACATAATTAAATGATTGAATAATATATGACAAAGGTAGAGACTCAATATCATGACTCAGCCACTGTCAACCTTCAAATATTTGACTTTTCCCTCCAATAATATTAATAATGTTCAGAAAACTTTTTTGGGTGGTTCAATTTGTGCCTAAAAGTTGAGTTCCCTTCTCCTATAACAATCATTTTATTTCATTTAAAAATGAATTTGATGGAGATATATTAAATTAGAAATGTTTTTTAAAGTTTTTTTGTTCTTTTTGTAAATTTGTCAATTAAAGGTACCGGTATCTTAAGTATTCTTAGAACAATAACTGCCAATTTTTAAAACCTTGTTTATCATCAGTTACTGCTACCGGTATGTCCAATGTATTATTACTTTTTAATAATTAAGACCAAAAACTTACTGTACGTATGAGTTGTTCTTTTATTATAATTTGTATATTATGTGTCCTTTGTTGTTCTTATTAAATTAAACTCTCAATATTTTCTTTTTTAATAAGAATTTTGTTATGAAATTACTAGTTAAAAATCTTAGTGCCGTGTTTTGCAGACATAAAAATTCACTTCAAAATAATTCAGCTTAGTGTTAGGGTAACTTTGAAATTTTAAGATAAAACAGTGCCACGGTTAATCCCGATGGAAAAACTGTGATGTCTTTTTAATTAACTACAAGTTAACTTATTTTTAAAATTCCTGACACGATTAATTAATTAGGTAGAGCTACATTTTTTGTAAATTCGCCGTACACATACATTACAGCTGTAATGTGTTAAAAGTTTTGACTTTTTTTGTCTAATAAACCCATTATTCAAACTTCACAAATGTCAGGCACTAAACAGCTATGTTGTTAAAATACACATTGGACATCCCCCACCCTCTCCTCTCTCTGCGTTTTCAACACACCATGTGTGAGACTGGGAAACTATGCTGTGTCTTATGAGCCATTCATAAATGATGCAGCACTATTTTGGCCAAGTTTGATACACCCAGTAATCTTCCCATCAATGTCAATTACTAATAATACATCATCACAAATTTGTTGACCATCCTCTCCCCCACTAGATGTGTGCCATCTCATTTATGGATGACCCCCGGCCTTACACATATACATCAATGTTATTGTTATGTTTTTCCAGTGTGTACTTTAGAAGATATTGCTTATAATCATTTTTTTCAAATAGAATGAAATAATGCTTCTGAAAAATTTGAACATGACTGCCTGATCAACAAACCTCAAGTCGTTTGTTAACAAACATCATTGTGGCTCAGGGCAAATGAGTACCCTGTACATATGGCTCAGAGCAAATGAGTACCCTGTACATGTGTCCCAAAGCAAATGAGTACCCTGTACATGTGGCTCAGAGCAAATGAGTACCCTGTACATGTGGCTCTGGGCAAATGAGTACCCTGTACATGTGGCTCAGGGCAAATGAGTGCATGGTTCATGTTGAAATTGTAACAGTCAAATTATTTTTCTGGCATCCCATTGTCTTACCAGCAAATACAATCAGTTTTTACTGTTAGTTTGTTTATTGTATTTCATTTTCTGTACAATGTCAAAAATTGGCGTTGGACCATTGACAGTTTCACAATCCTTATACTTACTCAGTATTTACGGTTTACCAGCATCAAGGACAATGGTTACAACTACGACCACTGTCATGCTGTCAAATCAACGAACCTCTATCAGTGCTAAAATGCTCCAAGCATCTGTTAACGATGAAATCCCCAAATACAACTAACAGTGGCCTCTTAAATATCAATATCAAGTCCATAAATGCTTATCTATGATCAAATCCACAAATAGTTATCATCGATTACCTATCAAATGTCAAGACCACAAATACTTATCGGCCACGAGCTATATAACCCAGCAAACAACGGCAATGCGCGAACTTCCCATCTGCTAATTAAAGTTACCCACTTGACAAAACATGCATTACAGGAACTCACTTCATGAGATCCCCACATAGTGCTACACAACCCACCCCCTAATAAAAAAACCCTCACACCACTGACCTTGAACTAACGTATATTAATATTCTAATGCCCCACCTCTTACTTTTATTTACCCCACAGATGGATTACACCAACTATTAACGGCTCGTAAAAGTAAAGGGACAGAAAATATTCAGCCGTAATGGGGGGGGGGGGGGGGGGGTGGTGCGCGTTATTTTTTAGAACCTCATTTAACGCAGTTATCAGGAATTTTAATTGGTGAAATCAGCGCCATCTGGGTAGCGTTAGTGTAACTGTTACGTAGAGCAGTACCCTAAGTATTTGTATTATCCACTAACACTTAACAATCGAATCCACAATATCTGTCAAAAATAATCCTGGGGCGTAGCGAGGTGGGGGGGGGTGGACAGATGTCCCCGCGCACCAGCTAGTTAGCGGCGCCAAAATGTGCTTTGATATTATTTTATTGATGAATATAATGGGCTTGAGAGTTGAAAAAAAAGAAAAAGGGGCGCTTTAAAATGGATCTTGTCCCCGGGCGCCAAATACGCCTCTGAAATAATCTCACACCCATGATTATACATAATGACGATCACTAACACAATACCTAAGTACCCGATACCGGAAATTTCAAGGGCCAAAATATTTGTCTTAGAACAAAATTGTAAATGATCACCTTTCATTTTTAATGTAAGGAGCATAAAATGTAGAAGTTGCAGGGGCCTCCAAATCAATATAGACTATGTACGATTTTGTAAATGCCTTCGAGAAGATTTCACGGGACTATTTTTTTTTTTTTTAACTACCTCTATCTTATAGTCTAGTAGCAGTTTACAAAAATTGTAGTTGTAGTATTTATGTATGTATATATTATATATATTAAATGTGTGTGTGTTGTAAGACAACTGAATTTCGTTGTTTTAAATAATAACGCGTGCCTATCAATTAATTGTACCGGGTAATGTAGCTGACAGGGCTGGGTCAGTGACGTTGCAAATAAATGTAAATTCGTCCCTCTTTTCAAAAAAAAGTTACCTACAGTAGGCTAGGAAAAAATAATAATGGGGGCAACCATAAATGTGTCACGCATCTTTTTAAAGTGGTGGGGGGGGGGGGGGGGGGGGGTTTGGTCAAGAATTTGTTATGATGCATAATTGAGGGCAGCTAAATTTGTGACGATATTTGGGGGAGGTGGCCCCTACTTAGTCAAGTCAAGACTCTGGCATAGACAACATAATATTATTGCGATAAGTTTAAGTGTTAAACTCAGTGATGAATACGGAGCAGACATAGAATCTTTTCCAACTCTCACGAATATAAATATAATGTAACGGCGGATGTCATAGGCGTAGACTGAATATATTAACATGAATTTTTTTTTTTAAAGGATGGTTAAAATTAACATAAGTACACGAATTAACATAAGTTCAAAATAATAAATGGTAAATCATAAATAACTTACCATAACAAACACTTAACATTTTTTAAACTCTTATAATGAAGTGACCTTTTAGGTCAGGTATTAGAAAACAAATTGAAAAACATCGTTGATAGAGGCGGCATTCATATAGTACGTACGAACTGGAAAGGGGCGGGGGAGGGGTTATTTTGTGTCTTCATGCGTATGTATGACGCCCCGGGGGAAGGGGGGGAGGGTCTCGACAGAAAGTACGTAAATTTATTCAAAATTCGACAAAAAACATCCTGAATTATTGACCAACCAAAAAAAAAAAAAAAGCATTCTATTGAAAGTATTGATATCTCTAATGGTGTGAACATCTCACGCAATGTTTTGTGGGCATGATCTTCATTATGGTGCCATGTGTTTTCACGAACGAAGTCGGTAGAAATCGCTCAAAGAGTACTCAGTAGCAGCAGTAGTAGCCAGGGGCGTCATTTCAGGTTGTTTTTTTTTTCAGAGGGGAGGGGGGCAAAAATGTGTCTGCTTGTTAAGTTGTTTATCACTGGAGGCGCCACAGTACGTAACAATTCAAATAAAACCTGCAAATTCGAGGGGAGGGGAAAATGCCCCCTGCCCTACCCAAAATGACGTCCCTAGTAGGAGTATAGTAATATTTAGCCCACCTTATGTTCATACTACGTGTGGCGTATTTTTTACAGGCTACATCAGTGGTTCCAAAAAATGTTCGATTCCCGGCGCCCTTGCCAAGTTTAGATTTTCGCCAGGCTCTCTGTGTTAGATTCCAACCACTCCACCTCGAAATAGCGTATACTATTAACAAAATAAAATAAAGGGTTTGATTAAAAAATAAATAAAAACACTTAACTGTATATATAATTTGTCAGAAACTAGGGCACAACAAGACCAAGACGACCATGCAAGGCATATATAGATACACCAGCAGCGCAAGCAATACGCAGGCAAACCCTCCCTTCCCTTGCCTGCCCATCGTTGGTCTCAAGACATGCGCACTGCGGTGGAGCTACCGCCCCCCCTCTTGCACCACACTCACTTGCCAGCCAGCGACCCTGCAAGGGTGCCGAGGTAACCAAGGACTGACCACAACCCTGTGAGAGTGCCGAAGCAACCGAGGACATGGCCACAACCCTGTGAGGGTGCCGAAGCAACCAAGAACATGGCCACAACCCTGTGAGGGTGCCGAAGCAACCAAGGACATGGCCACAACCCTGTGAGAGTGCCGAAGCAACCAAGGACATGGCCACAACCCTGTGAGGGTGCCGAAGCAACCAAGAACATGGCAACAACCCTGTGATGGTGCCGAAGCAACCAAGGACATGACCACAACCCTGTGAGGGTGCCGAAGCAACCAAGGACATGGCAACAACCCTGTGAGGGTGCCGAAGCAACCAAGAACATGGCCACAACCCTGTGAGGGTGCCGAAGCAACCAAGGACATGGCCACAACCCTGTGAGGGTGCCGAAGCAACCAAGGACATGGCCACAACCCTGTGAGGGTGCCGAAGCAACCAAGGACATGGCCACAACCCTGTGAGGGTGCCGAAGCAACCGAGGACATGGCCACAACCCTGTGAGGGTGCCGAAGCAACCGAGGACATGGCCACAACCCTGTGAGGGTGCCGAAGCAACCGAGGACATGGCCACAACCCTGTGAGGGTGCCGAAGCAACCAAGAACTAGAACAGTGCTATGTCTGGGAAAAGCGGCGCCTTTGGCAAAGCTGGAAAATGGTGCCATTTAATATATAGGAAAAAGTGCCCCCTCGCGGAGTGGACCGGTTAAAAAAAGATATTTGGCGCCCCTTGTCTTTGTGAAGTGTATGGGGTTTATAGTTTAATTCACTTTATAGGGTCCTATCCATGGGCGCCCACAAGGGGGGGGGGGCAAGGGGGATTGATTGGATAAAAAAAAATTAGACAAAATAGACAAAAATTTATTAAAGTAAAGATAAAATAAAGAGAAAGTAACTAAGCTGATGTCCTGTCCGTTCGTTCACCATACAAATACGCTACAGTAAATTAAAACTACATTAAAACATTACTAAAACAATTTTGCCCCCCCCCCTAGAAAGTTAATCGATTTTTTGCCCCCCACCCCCTCTTAGAAAGTTTTCTGCGGACGCCCATGGTTCTATCTAAAGACGATTTCGGCGCCGCCCTGCCGCTGGCGCCCGGAGGGGACTGCTCTCTTCTCCCCATTCTCATGGCTCTGCCCGAGAGCTATGTGACACCCATATCTTTTCGGCGTATTTTCAGGGAACTTTTGGATTCGCTAACATTCTACAGTGAAAACCCATTTCACTTTTTTTTTTCTGTGATGCCATAATTATCTATACATTATTTGATTTTGGGGCTGTTGTTTTTTTGGTGGGGTGGAGTATGGGGGATTGAAAGCTTAATGTACATACACATTTGGAAAGGGGGGGGGGGTCCAAAAAAGTACGCGTGACACAGGGGGTGTGGGGGTGTACTTTTTTTTTTTTTTGGGTACCCATTTCTAAATGGGTGGAACCCCTTTAGTTGAAAAATCAGAAAATGAAAGTGCACCCCTCCCCCCCCCCCCACACACAATTATCATCTTGTTGATGTGTGTTATAAAGGTTAAGTCCTACAGTGTAAGTAACTGAAGGGATCGGACAAGAGAATTCTACATTATGTCTGGACTAGCGTATGAAGGGAGGGAATGCGAGAAAGTAGTCCGCCTCGGCCGGCACTTTTTTTCTATATATCCAGACGCGTCATTTTCGGGATCGGAAAGCCCTTTACCCACCTGAGCGGTACTAACCCTAGCTACGACACTGAAAAAAGTGGATTTTTAAATGTATTACTTTTTGTTTGAACTGTTCGCCTGAAGAAGGCTTCTTGCCGACACCTTCGTTGTTTTGTTACGTCTTTTCTTTTTTTCCAGGTTTTCCTAAACATTGTTTTCATAAGGACACTTAATGTATTTTTTTATATATATATTGTGTAACCTGGTTGTTGACAGAAGGTTATGCATATTTTGTAGGCATGTTTATTTCCGTTGTTTGTACGGTGCACACATAAAATTGTTACGTGTTTACTTGGGGAGTGTCTGACAAGATGAAGTGACCTGTGAATACCTAATGAGAACACAGAACTGTGGGATGATAGATCGCCGCGGTAGATCGGAGGGAATATGAAACTAGATGAAAATTTTAGTCAGACGATAAGCCTGAATTCAGTTCGGGTCTTTGGCTTATTAAACTCAGCGCTGTCTTTTTTTTTTTTAAAATTTAAAAAGTCACACAGCGCCTTTTTTTCCAAAACAATTCATTGGTGTTCAGAGAGGATTGTTTATTTTTTTCTCCAATTTATTGTTCCAGGACACTTGGATTTTTTTAAAAATAATTTTAAAAATTAAAATTTTTGATTCGTGAAATATAAAAGTTATGTGCTAGAATAGTAGGCGCACGCCATTATTAATCTGTGTTTAAATTTGAATACAAACGACCGAAGTAAAGATGAAGTCGACGTGTGATGTTTGTGTCGTTCTGCTTCTCGCTCACGCCGTTACGTCGACGATATCGTCCCCCATCCTCAATCCATTCCAGCTGTTCGGCGAGATGTTTAGAAACATGATGCAGCCGCCTCACGGGTCAGTTGTGTCGTCGATGGGGTACGTGTACAACAACAACAACGCGGCTAGGGCGCCAGCTCATCACGTGCCCCCGTCCATCTCATCGTCCATCACGACGTCGGTTCAGCTGACCCAGTCCCTGGGCGGGGACCAGAACGGGGGTAGTCATGTGTACAGCCAGCAGAGCAGACCGTACCTGGACTGGGAGAAGCATGTTTTAGGCCAAGGGGGAGGTCACCTCGAGACCGTCCCCGCTACAACGGAATCATCAGCGGTCACCACGGAGCTATCCTTCCCAGACTACATCAGGCGGGCGACGTACGATTGGATGAAAAAATACAAGCTGGCATACTTTGCTAACTACTACCAAACACCCGGCCCGTCGACATCGCCAACCGCACGAGATCCACCGCCGACAACCCCGAAGACGACGTCCACCACGAGTGCTACAGCGCCCACGACATCACCAGTTAATACGACAACAACTCTAAACACGAACGAGACCACCGAGAACACCACGACGGCGGCATCAACTTCCACGGCACCAGAGCCACTGTCGACAACGGCAATACCGACCACAGAGTCATCGACGCCCTCGTCATCAACAACAACACCGTCGACGACTACGTCAGCAACGACAACCATGACAACATCAACCGCGACAACCTCAACCACCACCACCACCACCACCCGGCCCACGATAAGATCGACCACGCCCACAACGACTGCGCTCCGCCCCATCGCGGTGATTGATCAGGCGGTTGATGACATGACAGGGGGCTTCCTCCCCGACCAACCCAACCTTGGCACGCGCTGGGGTCACCACCATATCGAACACACAGTGGATAATCTGGTCTAGTGGAACACATAGTGGATAATCTGGTCTAGTGGAACACATAGTGGATAATCTGGTCCAGTGGAACGCACAGTGGATAATCTGGTCTAGTGGAACACATAGTGGATAATCTGGTCTAGTGGAACGCACAGTGGATAATCTGATTTAGTGGAAGACATAGTGGATAATCTGGTCTAGTGGAAAACATAGTGGATAATCTGGTCTAGTGGAACGCACATTGGATAATCTGTTCTAGTGGAACACATAGTGGATAATCTGGTCTAGTGGAACATATAGTGGATAATCTGGTCTAGTGGAACGCACATTGTATAATCTGGTCTAGTGGAACACATAGTGGATAAGCTGGTCTAGTGGAACACATAGTGGATAATCTGGTTTAGAAGAACTCATAGCACACACATTGGATGATTTCGTTTAGTCTAGTGCTTCTAAAACTGTGGATCGCGACCCCCTAGCCTGACAAAAATGCCAGGGTCGCTAGAAAACTTCTGAAATTAAGTTTTTTAATTTAAATTTAAAAATAAATAATTTTTATCTTACTTGTTCCAAGTTTCATTTTTGAAATCTAAATATTGTTTACAGTGCTTGAGCTAGTTTCTTACTGTCGGTGCCTTGTTGATTCTACACTACAGCTACCTAAGTGCACTTGTTGCAGAAAATTACCTGCGTTGCGCCCTGGCGAAGACGTCCCCTGAGAATGTCTGGTCTAGCCTGAAAGAATTAAGCCCACTGACATCTCCGTTGTGTTGTTTTTTTTCTGTACTTAATGACAATTGTTAGACTTGTTCACGTTTTGTTTTCTTGTAAGGCCTAAACTTTAAATTTGTTTAGCTTCCACCGACATGTTGTAACTTCCAGTTTTTCATGGAAACATAAACATATTAAAGTAAACATTTTATACTTTGGGCACATTTTTTAAAGTGATTACCAAACGAAAAACGGAAAAGAATATAGTTTAAATTACATTGTTGTGAAATAAATGTGCTTTAATAAGGAAAATCAGTTGGGGTACGGGGAAAGGGGTGCGTGGGGCTGGGGGTGGGGGACGATCCACCCACAAGGGGGCTTTTTTTTTTCTTTATATCTATGTGTCATTTTCGGTAAACAACTTTTTTCGTGGAGGGGGGGGAGTGGCAAAAATCGTGTACCCTAGCTACGCCACTGGTGAAAATAAAAGGGTATAAATATAACAAAAATTATAAATTTAAATAAAATTGTCAAATTAAGTCAAAAGCCGCCCCAAGGCCCGCACTTAGGGGGGGGGGTGGAGGGACGACAACCATGGCACTTTTCTGGCGCCCGAGCTAGATAAGGGCCCGCCCTTTTTCAAGTTTTAAAATATACGCACATGTTTGAAACATGAAAGGGGCCCAACTCGGTCAGCTGCATTGGGCAAAAGAATTTCCTAGGTACGGGACTGCGCCCCCCCCCCCCCCCACCCCCCCNCTCCATACCAGTCAAACTTCTAAAAACCAGTTTCTCAATTCCTTGGAATAATACTGGTTGTGGGTCACCACCACCTGGTGAACGTTATCACGATAGTAAAACGAGAATCACTGGTTTGGGCAAACGACATTTTTAAATTTTTTTTTACAAACTACTTGCATATTTTAAACATATGCGAAGATCTTAAAATGCAATAGTAAGTGATATTTATATCACAACTGAATGATGTTTTGAAAAGTTAAGTCAGCGAAGTTGACTAGTTGGCGGACCATTTTCGCGCAAACTGCACATGCAGTGGGCAGACAACACGGCGGCCAGAGTTGTATTCGCTAACATGCCGTCTTTTAACAGCATAGCAGACAAGACCCTTGGTAGGGATTAGGTCCCAGGCAGCATAATCTAATGACACAGATGCGCACTGAGCACTGTCCCATCGGCACATATTTTGAAAGGCTAAATCATATACAGGGATCCTACCTGCCGCCATTCCAGCCTGGTTCCGGAAACTCTTAGTGCATCTGTTGACCTTATGTCCCTCACTAGAGGTTTCGAGGTAGGCCAGGGCGGCTGGAGAGCCCTACTTGAGAAAAATGTTCTATGGCACAGCTCAGCAGATGGGATTGATTGCCAATGTAATATCCGCTGTCATAAGAGATTGCTCTCAGACCCTCAACAGAATAGTTAGTCAGCGAAGTTTAACAAATGAAATCAATCGATTGATGTTTTGGATTGATTTGTTTCCCGCAACAAATAATGTTGTTATTTTGTTAAGTCTTTTTAAGCAAAGGAACTCGAGGAGCAATGTAAACAGAAAGTGAAAGAGTCCGGTAATGTATTTATAAATATTTGTTGTTTTGTTGTTGTTTTTGTGTGTGTGTTTATCGAAAAATAATTAAACAACTCCCAAAAACAAAGTTTTACGTATAAATCTTTTATATGTATTTTTTATTATTATTTTATTTCATATTAATATTCTAATTCTCAGTGATTATTTCAGAAATTTTCCCCCGGGGGGCACTTCAGATTTTTCGGGGAGGGGGGGGGGTATTTTTTTTTATTTTTAAAAGTTAACTTGTTACTGATGTCCAATATAACAGACGTAATATGAAAATTGCACATCATCAACAGGGCATATCAGCAAACGTGGATATCAGCAACAGTGAACGACGATAAAATTACTCAACAGAACGACTGCAGGCCACAAAATGATTGTTGTTGGTGGTTGTTGTTTGTTATCTGTTGTTATTGTTTTTTGGTTGTTATTGATTGCTGTTGTTGGTCGTGGTTGTTGGTGGTTGTTGTTGTTGGTGGTTGTTGTTGTTGCTGGTTGTTGTCGTTGGTGGTTGTTGTTGTTGCTGGTTGTTGTTAGTGGTGGTTGTTATTTTTGTTAGTGGTGGTTGTTGTTGTTGTTGGTAGTGGTTGTTGTTGTTGGTGGTGGTGGTTGTTGTTGTTGGTGGTGGTTGTTGTTGTTGTTGTTGGTGGTGGTTGCTGTTAATGCTGGTTGTTGTTGTTGCTGGTTGTTGTTGTTGGTGGTGGTTGTTTTTGTTGTTGGTGGTGGTTGTTGTTGTTGTTGGTGGTGGTTGCTGTTAATGCTGGTTGTTGTTGTTGCTGGTTGTTGTTGTTGGTGGTGGTTGTTTTTGTTGTTGGTGGTGGTTTTTGTTGTTGTTGGGGGTTGTTGTTGGTGTTGTTGTTGGTTGTTGTTGTTGGTTGTTGTTGTTGTTGGTTGTTGTTGTTGTTGGTGGTGATTGTTGTTGTTGTTGTTGGTGGTTGTTGTTGTTGGTGGTGGTTGTTGTTGTTGTTGTTGGTGGTGGTTGTTGTTGTTGGTGGTTGTTGCTGTTGTTGGTGGTGGTTGTTGTTGCTGGTGGTTGTTGTAGTTGTTGGTGGTGGTGGTTGTTGTTGTTGTTGGTGGTGGTTGTTGTTGTTGTTGTTGGTGTTGGTGGTTGTTGTTGTTGTTGGTGGTGGTTGTTGTTGTTGTTGGTGGTAGTGGTTGTTGTTGTTGGTGGTGGTTGTTGTTGTTGGTGGTGGTTGTTGTTGTTGTTGTTGGTTGTTGTTGTTGTTGGTGGTGGTTGTTGTTGTTGTTGTTGGTGGTGGTTGTTGTTGTTGGTGGTTGTTGTTGTTGTTGGTGGTGGTTGTTGTTGCTGGTGGTTGTTGTAGTTGTTGGTGGTGGTGGTTGTTGTTGTTGTTGGTGGTGGTTGTTGTTGTTGTTGTTGGTGTTGGTGGTTGTTGTTGTTGTTGCTGCTGGTGGTTGTTGTTGTTGTTGTTGGTGGTGGTGGTTATTGTTGTTGTTGTTGATGGTTGTTGTTGGTGGTGGTGGTGGTTGTTGTTGTTGGTGGTGGTGGTTGTTGTTGTTGTTGTTGGTGGAGGTTTTTGTTGTTGGTGGTGGTTGTTGTTGTTGGTGGTTGTTGTTGTTGTTGGTGGTGGTGGTGGTTGTTGTTGTTATTGGTGGTGGTTGTTGTTGTTGGTTGTGGTTGTTGTTGTTGGTGGTGGTTGTTGTTGGTGGTGGTGGTGGTTGTTGTTGTTGGTGGTGGTTGTTGTTGTTGTTGGTGGTGGTTATTGTTGTTGTTGGTGGTAGTTGTTGTTGTTGTTGGTGGTGGTTGTTGTTGTTGGTGGTGGTTGTTGTTGGTGTTGGTGGTTTTTGTTGTTGGTGGTTGTTGTTGTTGTTGGTGGTGGTTGTTGTTGTTGGTGGTGGTTGTTGTTGGTGGTTGTCGTTGTTAGTGGTGGGGTTGTTGTTGTTGGTGGTGGTTGTTGTTGTTGTTGGTTGTTGTTGTTGTTGGTGGTGGTTGTTGTTGTTGGTGGTGGTTTTAGTTGTTGGTGGTGGTTGTTGTTGTTGGTGGTGGTGGTTGTTGTTGTTGGTGGTGGTGGTTGTTGTTGTTGTTGTTGGTGGTGGTTGTTGTTGTTGGTGGTGGTTTTTGTTGTTGTTGGGGGTGGGTGTTGTTGTTGGTGGTGGTGGTTGTTGTTGTTGGTGGTGGTGGTTGTTGTTGGTGGTGTTGGTGGTTGTTGTTGTTGTTGGTGGTGGTTGTTGTTGTTGGTGGTGGTGGTTGTTGTTGTTGTTGTTGGTGGTGGTTGTTGTTGTTGGTGGTGGTTGTTGTTGTTGTTGGTGGTGGTTGTTGTTGTTGGTGGTGGTGGTTGTTGTTGTTGGTGGTGGTGGTTGTTGTTGTTGTTGTTGGTGGTGGTTGTTGTTGTTGGTGGTGGTGGTTATTGTTGTTGGTGGTTGTTGTTGGTGGTGATGGTGGTTATTGTTGTTGTTGTTGGTGGTTGTTGTTGTTGTTGGTGGTTGTTGTTGTTGTTGTTGGTGGTGGTTGTTGTTGGTGGTGGTTGTTGCTGTTGTTGGTGGTGGTTGTTGTTGCTGGTGGTTGTTGTAGTTGTTTGTGGTGGTGGTTATTGTTGTTGTTGGTGGTGGTTGTTGTTGTTGTTGGTGGTGGTGGTTGTTGTTGGTGGTTGTGGTTGTTGTTGTTGGTGGTGGTGGTTGTTGTTGGTGATGGTGGTTTTTGTTGTTGGTGGTGGTTGTTGTTGTTGGTGGTGGTGGTTGTTGTTCGGGATGGCTGTTATTGGTGACTGTTGTTTGTGGTGGTGGTTGTTGGTGTTTGTTGTTGTTGCTGATTGTTGTTGATGTTGGTGATGTTTGTTTTGTTTGTTTGTTTTTATCGGCTTTGTCTTTATAACCGACCAAACTGTGCATTCAAACTGTGTTGAACACATTTCTTTTTTACTTTAGCACACCACATGACGTCAAAGATAAGACATGGTCAACCCAGTTTTATGTCCTTATTGTCTCGTGACCCAGGTAACGGTCATTAGTGAATTTATTGTCAGTTCATATAAGTAATTAGACGTGCAATGACATAATCAAAAACTCTTTGGTAAGATACACCACGCAAATTGAGATTGGTATGTTAAGATACACCACGCACATTGAGATTGTATGTTAAGATACACCATTCACCTAGAGAGGGTATGTTTGCATGTGTGTTAATTTAAAAATCACACTGAAATTTTCCCGCTCAATTCATATTTGTAATGCCACACACGTTAGAACATTGCAATCGTGAATATTTTGTTAAAGATTTGTTATTTTACGAGTGTTGAAGAATTAGTTGTTATTTCACGAGTTTTGAAGAATGAGGTGCTATTGGGGGGTGTTGAAGAATGAGGTGCTATTTGGAGACAGTAGCTTAAAAAGACGAAAATAATTGAAACAGATATTAATGTTTTTGAACTGCCCATCATTAATAACAAAGAAGTGACGACACAATATATCGGTGGACGAATCAGGAAACAGAACACTCAACACATTTTGTTTTGTTCTATGCTTGGGGTGGTGAGTTGCCAGAAAAATGTACATGAAAATATTAATTACAAGAAGTAATGCTGCGTAAAGCATGGACATAGACGTCGTCGTAACATAACGCCACCTGTAGGCACAGCGATGAATGAATCAACGAGCAGAGACCTCATCAAGGTGGAGATAATTAGCTGTTGACCCCTCAAACACGGTTGCTGACCGTGGCTAAAGTCTTGTCCAATGAGATCAGTCAGCGAGGCACCCCCCGGGGGCTCAATTCTCAAGTTTCTAGCGACAAAAATATGTTAATGTAAATTATTGACATTATATCTTGTTATGAACGAAATTTTTCCTGTGTTTTGAGTTTAATTCAGCAAAATAGTATACTTTGATCATGATTACCGCATCTTACACAAGTGTGTATTTGAACAGTGAAGGTTGTGGGAAGAGATGGTGTCTGATAAAAAGCCAAAGTAACATCGTCGGTAAGTTTTGGTGATTATCAAAAGGTTAAACTGTATATCTTTGCCATAATACGGGGATGTTTAGAAGACTTTCGTGGTTATAAACTAGCTTTCCGTGAATGACCACACACACAAAATAATTAATCTATATATATAAAAATGAATGTTTTATGTCTGTCTGTATGTCTGTATGTCTCGTATGCGCTCCTACACCATTCTAGCGATTGCGACAAAACTTTAAACAGTTGTTTTCCACATAACCGGCCATTTAACTAAGTCATTAAAAATCTTATCAAAAGTTCCGTTCCTAGCCGTTGGCCCTTAATTCGTTTTTTTTCTTATATGAGCTTTGTAAAATATTTTCCACATGCGCTCCTACGCCATTTATCCGATTCATATAAAACTTTGGTGCAATGTTGCGAGCATGTTTATAAACATTTCTAAATTATTACAATCGTTTTAAATTATTTAGTTTTGAGCCAGGGGCCTCACATTCGTTTTTCCTTATATGAGCTATATAAATATATTTTCAAACCGTATGCGCTCCTACACCAATCATGCGATTGCTACAAAACTTAGTGAGTTGTTGTCCATGCGCAAATGCATTTTACTGTGTTATTTAAACACTTTTAAAAATATTCCGTTTTCGGCCGTTGGCCCTTAATTCGTATTTTTTTCTTATATGAGCTTTGTAAAAAATAATTTTCATATGCGCTCCTACGCCATTTATCCGATTCCGATAAAACTTTGGTGAGATGTTGCAAACATGTCCATAAAGGTTTCTAAATTATTACAACCGTTTTAAAGTATTCAGTTTTGAGCCAGGGGACTCACATTCGTTTTTCCTTATATGAGCTATATAAATATATTTTCAAACCGTATGCGCTCCTACACCAATCATGCGATTGCTACAAAACTTAGTGAGTTGTTGTCCATGCGCCAGTGCATTTTACTGTGTTATTTAAACACTTTTAAAAACATTCTGTTTTCGGCCGTTGGCCCTTAATTCGTATTTTTTCTTATATGAGCTTTGTAAAAAATAATTTTCATATGCGCTCCTACGCCATTTATCCGATTCCAATAAAACTTTGGTGAGATGTTGCAAGCATGTCCATAAAGGTTTCTAAATTATTACAACCGTTTTAAAGTATTCAGTTTTGAGCCAGGGGACTCACATTCGTTTTTCCTTATATGAGCTATATAAATATATTTTCAAACCGTATGCGCTCCTACACCAATCAAGCGATTGCTACAAAACTTAGTGAGTTGTTGTCCATGCGCCAGTGCAATTTACTGCGTTATTTAAACACTTTTAAAAACATTCTGTTTTCGGCCGTTGGCCCTTAATTCGTATTTTTTGAAATATGAGCTTTGTAAAAAATAATTTTCATATGCGCTCCTACGCCATTTATCCGATTGCAATAAAACGTAAAACTTTGGTGAGATGTTGAAGCATGGCCGCAGAGGTTTTTAAATTATTATAAACTTTTCAAAATATTCCAATTTTAGCCAGCGGCCTTATTTACGTTTTTTTCTTATACGAGCTATATAAATATTATTTCAAACCGTATGCGCTCCTGCACCATTCACGCGATTGCGACAAAACTTTGACGAGTTGTTATCTATAAACATAACCATTCATTACAACACTTTTAAAATATTCCGTTTTGGGCCGTTGACCCAAATTCTTATTTTTTCTTATATGCGCTTTGTAAAAAATAATTTTCTATGCGCTCCTATACCATTTTTCAGAATGCGATAAAAATTTAGTGAGATGTTGTTCTATCGCCCACAAAGGTTCTTAAATTACTACAACCGTTTTAAAATATTCAGTGTTGAGCCAGGGGCCCTATGTTTGTTTCTTACAAAATGAGCTATATAAATATAATTTCAAACCGCATGCGCTCCTACATCATTCAAGCGCTTGCGATAAAACTGAGGTGAGTTGTTGTCCATAAGCCAGAGCATTTTTCTAAGCCATTATAACTCTACTAAAATATTCCTTTTTTTTGGCAATCGCCCCAAATTCGTGTTTTTTTCCTTACATTAGGAGCTTTATAAAAAATAATTTCCGTATGCGCTCCTCTACATTATTACAATGCGATAAAATTTTAGAGAGATGTTGTGCGCGCGCCCGCCCGCAAAGGTTTCTTAAATGATTACAACCATTTTAAAATACTCCGTTTTTAGCCAGGGGTCCTATGTTCGTTTTTTCTATATAAGCTATACAACTATAATTTTAAGCTATACAACTATAATTTCAAACAGAGCTAAAGCATGAATGGATAGCTTTTTAATCAAATACAAATAGTGATATTAAATTGAGTGTGTGACATATTAAGTAGGTTTCTGAAGTAATACAACAATTCTACAATATTCCATTTGTGGAGGGGGGTCCTAAATTCGTTTTCCACACTTCTATTATCTATATAATTATAGTATGCATTTCTATACCATTCATTCGATTGTGATCAAACTGGGTCAAGTGAAATGCGCACTACCGAAAATGTTTCTAAATTAGAAAAAAACATTTTACAATATTCCGTTTGGGCCAGTGACCCTAATTTCATATTTTCTTCTAAGAGCTTTGTAACTATAATTTCAAACAGAGCTATTGCATGTGTGGAAGTAGCTGAATCCGCCGGCAAATTTTTCAAATTTAGTACATCCATTGTACAATATTCCAATTAGGGCTGGGGACCCTAAATTCAATTTATTTTCTTAAATGAGCTTCATCAATATAATTTATAACGAAGATATCAACACTACCGCCCTTGAACAAATGACACATTTGTAGTAAAGCAGAGAAAACACGTTTTTACATTTTTAGTGTAGAGAGTATTTTTGTTATGTGTATAAATAAGCTTGAATTTTGTGACGCATTTTAGAATCGGAAATGACATCGAAATCGCGTTTTTTTTTTCAACTAAGAGTATTTCTTGAATAGAGTCTTATAATTTCGGAGTTGTTTTGTGTTATGTAAATACATTTTACACCAATCGATGGTTTCTCAAGTAATTAAATAACACACTTGACAGCGTAGATATTGAACTATGGTCATTTTTTACCGCTGGAATTTACGATTTATAAATTAATGAGAAACTATACAACTGGAAATCTCCTGCCAACAATGAACGTACATATTGTTCGAGGTTTTCATGTAAAAAGATGGGAGATCCTAACGTGTGAGAATTACATTCACCATCAAAACCATTATCATTGTTGGTATCAGGTGACAATAGCCAATCGAAACATTTCTTGGCAAACATACGCAAATGCAATTCATGTTTCCAAATGACATCGTTCGGTGCAACAAATATCGTGCGCGAGAATTACATGCCAACATTTAAAGTAAAGTGAAAGGCCAAATTTACCATCGTGTAGGATCTCTGATGCCAATGCCAAACACAGATCACAAATGTCTTCAAATGATTTCATGGGGAATACTGATGAGCAAATCAATCAACGTTGTCATATCAATACGGGCACTAAATGAGAAATCGTCGCTGCAATGCAAACGTTATTTTTGCAACACAATGAATTAATTCAAATGTATAGAGTTGCACTTGAAAAGATGCCGACTGATGAATACAAAGTCATAGTTAGAGCAGACTAAACACCTGTCGGCCAACATGAAAGACAATACAATGCACCAACAATTGATGAAGTGGCGATCATTATAGTTGGCAAAGAATTTAACTCAAGTGATATAATTCTTCATCGCAGAAGTGTTGATGTTCAGCGAGTCTCAGAAACTCATCGCTCATACGTTTAATTGCAATATCCTATTTTATTTTGGAAAGGAGAAGATGGATATCATTTTGACATCAAATTGAGAAATTCGAATAAGAAAGACAGTGCCACGAAATACTATTCATATCGATTGATGATTCATGAGTTGGGAATGACCTCTCGAAATCGATCTGCAAACAAACTTTTCGCTCTTCATTTGCAACGACAAACGCACTTTGATATCGAAGCATTAGGTACGGTACATTTTTTTCAAATGAATCTTCCGAAATTGGTTCCATTGAAGTTACTATTTTAAATGGAAAATTTAAACTAGGTGATGTACTTTTGCCATTCACCCCAATGATTCCAACAGATATGCCATTTGAATTCAAACGCCTACAGTTTCCGATGCTACACGCGTCTACAATGACTATCTACAAAGCACAGGGACAATCGCTACAAGTTTGCATGGAAAATCCATGCTTCGCCCATGGACAGATGTATGTGGCCTGCTCTCGCGTCGGAAAATCTTCTGATTTATTCGTGTATATACCAGATGGAAAAACAAGAAAAACTTTGAGTATTTAAAAGCTCTTGAAGAAACATAACATGCAAACACTTTCTTTCCTTGAGTGGCATTACAACGCATGCCGGGTACTCGCTAGTATTATATATTTATTATCTTTAATTACCCGGTATGAGCATATAATCAATATTGCTTATACGTATTAAATTAATGATATTTCCGCAAAATGAATGGAAAGGTCTTTTACATTTTATCAAATTTATATCGTATTCAATTCATTATATTTTCGTAAAAAAAGGAACATGTCCAACATTTCATTAAAGGACCATGACGTATTTAAATTAAATCGATTTTTAAGGGTTTCATTGTAAGCTTAGCTCCTACTTTGATAGATTATGCAGCTCTTTTTTAATATTTTACACAATGAGAGCTTACGTTTTTCTTTCCAAGTGTAAACATATATATGAAAAGCATTCACATGTTTTACTACTAATCATCCTTATGTCTGTCCTTCTGTCCGGAGCTACCAGCACCAGTGGGAAAACCAGAATTTATAAGAAATGGAAAGTATTCAAAATTGAAAAAAGATTTTTCCCAATCATGGTTGGATTGTTTAAACGTTTGACGCTACGCATTTAATCGGCAACGTCAATATCACCAGAAAGAAAAGGAGGTGTGGGGGGGGGGGGAGGGGTGAAAGCTTTAGTTCTAAGTTTAAGAGAAATTAGGACATGATATACCATAACAGTCACACAAAACACTAGTGTCAGAAACACTTCATAAATAAATACAACCTATCTTTTTGGTGATATTCACAAAAAATAAATGTCTCTTATATAATCATATATATATATATATATTGCTTCTAGCTCGTCCTGCTATCTTTTCTTAACTGTCCTCCCCCAACTCCACATGATGGAATAATATTAATACTACTAAGATAATTAAAGGCTGTCATGCGGCGAGCTTCATGTGCGAGTCTGAACTCAAGTAAATATGTTGAATTTTGTTTTCTTTAGGAGTGGCGAGTATAATTTGGTGTTGCTATCTCTCGTGTTCCTCTGTCACACAGTGAGCTTCATGCATACCTCATGTCTATGCCAGGAACCCGGCAATGCCTGTTTCCTTCAGATGATTATTTATTCCCATAAACCGTTGATGAAAGCAATGGCCTCTCATTACAATAGAGGGGATTAGATTTTGTTGTATTTTGTAGAAGATAAGGCGATAATTCTTTTTAATATCACCTTTAACAACCTGTTTTTTTTCCTCAATTTACCCGGACCCGGTGTAACAATTGCACCCGGTTAGGCAATAGCAACATATAATACAGAACACAGTCAGAAGAACTAACACCATCAGGGCTAAACATAGCTCAGCATGAAAAAACCTTCACTAAACGAACACACTTGGGCTTATGTTTCTTGAATAAAACTTACTGTGACCTCCATGTGTACAATACATACCTTAATTCTTAATGAACTGCCGTGAACTCTCAACATCACTTCACTCTACAAAAACTTAAATCTACTAAAATCCATGATCCAATGGTCACCACGAGTAACCTCAGCATTTAAACAACCTACTCATATATTGACCTTCCATAAACCGAACATTCACAACTTGCTCTCACAAAGAAAAATCCCAAACTCACGATCAACAACGTTCATAAACATACTGACCACGCCCACAAACCAGTTAGTACTAAAAGATGTATTGGCACCAACTAATAACGTCACTTTTGAGATGTTGTCGGTGGGTCGTCGAGTTTGCACTCATAATAACCCCCTGGCACTCCCCCAAACTTTTTCATGTCCCTGAAATACAAAAGAAATAATTGAACAAATATATTTATTTTCATTATATAATAAATCCATTGTAATTTTTTCTCTCATCAACATTATGTTATATTAGAAAATAATTGAAAAAAAAAATTAAATTGCAATATAAATAAATATTCTGTACTTTTTTTTCTCTTAGCAACATTATGTTTCTTTATATATGATCACAACCCACAAACTAAACTACCATAAAAAGTAAGAATGACACATTAGGAATCGATCAAGGAACTGATAGGTGATATTGTCATGGCTGAAATCATTTCTGTTAGACGTCAGAATTCTATTCGTGGTAGGAATTTTGCACTGATTTGACACGGTATTCCTTTAAAGGGTTTTGGACACCAAAAATATAGGTCACATGGCCTTGCGATTGACTGATCCCTAACAGAGATTTAATATTTCCCTCTAGCCCCTGACACATTGTCTCCCAGAGAGACGCAGGAATGAAATCGTACTTTGATTTCAAATCAGTGACGTCAGACTTTGTAACTAATGAAATAACGCCGGGTTGGAAAAGGTTCGTTACTATTTGTGATATATTTTACCATAACCTTTCCAAGATAATTCTCTATACATGTTTGACCCAACGTTGGGGGAAGCGTGCAATATTTACATTTTAATGTCCCTTAAAGAATATCTTGACTGACCTTTAACAACAGACATCATCAAAAAAAAATCCTTTTAAACCTAATGGTACAATACTCGCACATACCGTAAATCCTAGGTAGCATACAGTGGTTTTGTGTATTTAGAAATGTGTTTTTAACCTGACCGATAAGCTTGAAGCTTTGTACTAGCTCACAAGAAATTTAAAGATCAACACAGTATTAAATGAAATAACATTTAAGATGTTGTTTTAACTTTACAATTAGACATGTAGTTTCAAAATGTCATGGTTTAAATAAAACAGGCAAACTTAGTACGAAGTGCAACAAATGAAATCCGCCCACGAATTAAAGTTTACAAGAAGTTTATTTTAACAAATGTCTTCATATACTGAGGAGTTTTCCATGAAATGTTAAATCAATACAAGACAACCCCCCCCCCCCCCCCCCCCTTTTTTTTTTTAACCCACTGGCTTCCTGAATCCAAGGTAAACAAACAGTGCGTGCTTGACACAGTATGAATATAAATCATATCCAGCTTTCAGAGTTACATTCTATAATTTAATGCAGCTGAATAAATTTCCACGAATTTAAGGTATTCTATTCTATTTTGTTTCTTTATTTCGACAACGATACCTACCATAGAAATAGAACATTAATGTTGATTAAAACAGATAAAGTTCATAATATGATATAAATAACATCATTCCTTCTCATAATATAAATTTCTCATTAAATGAGGTTTTTTTTCTGCTTGGGAAAAAATCACCTTTAAAATACACATACATAATTATTCTGTAACAATTCGCCTACTTGTTTTTAATTTCAATTTATTACACTCATATTATAAATTAATATATTTATAAATTACTACTCAAATATTTAAAATGAATTGTTTATATAACTACACATAACATTATGTGTATAATAACGTTATTATATGAATATAAATCATATTCAGCTTTAAGAGTTACATTTAATATCTTATTGTAGCTGTATAAATTTCCACGAATTTAAGGTATTCTATTTTATTTTGTTCCTTTATTTCGAAAAAGATACCTACCCTATCAAATTAATTTTGATTAAATCAGATAAAGTTCATAATATAGTATAAATAATATCATTCTTTTTCATAATATCAATTTCTCATTTAATTTAGTTTTTTTTTTCTGCTTGGGGAAAACCACCTTTAACATTCATACATAATTATTCTGTAACAATTCGCCTACTTATGTTTTATTTTAATTTATTACACTCATATTATAAATTAAATTATTTATAAATTACTACTCAAATATTTAAAATGAATTGTTTTTGTAACTACACATAATGTTCCACAAGCATTTTTAGAGTTTTTCTACTAGTAACTAATATTTCGTGACTTGAAATCTGCTCTAGGTCTGTTCCAAAGTATCTTCTGCACAGCGTTCATTTTGCTCACCCCTCACCCTGATCATCTCCCCCCCTCCCCCCCCCCCCCCCCCCCCCCGTTTGTTGTCTATTTTACCTCACACATTCAGAAGTTTCCTATAACTCTACACAGCTTCAGATAAGTCATTTTGTTTTCATTCTGTTGTTTTTTTTCACGTGTTTTGTGTTCGAGGAAGAAGGCGTTTCGCCGACACGTAAGTTGTTACGTTGTATCCATTTCCAGCGTTTACCCCAACTTGTGCTACTTGTTTTCTGAGTCCATTGATTAGTCACACAGGGTATTCCCCCGCGTGTTTTCAATGAACGAGTGGAGAGTGACAGCCACTGCCAAACACCGTCTTTCAAGCGCAAGTGTCTACGTGAAAACGATCTGATTCTTTCCATTCATTGTTGACACTTGTCTTGACACAAAGTAGTAGGTTTGGTGTTACGTCGTCGGGAATAGGAGACACCAAGACCGTCATTGAAATTGACACGCTTGTCCGGAATGGTAATCATGTGAGACAGCTGTCAATATCGGGGATCATAGCTGACAGTTGTCCGTGTTGGGATAATAGCTGACAGTTGTCAATGATTGGCATAATAGCAGACAGTTGTCATCAGACATATATCAAGGGCGGAGATCGCATCAGAGAGTTGTTAAGGATGGAGATGATAGCAGGCGGTTGTTCAGTATGATAAACATATCAGACAGTTTTCAGTTTTGGCGATCATAGCAGACAGATGTCGATCCCGTTGAATGTATTAATTAAATAATTTATTTTTATAAACATTAACCTTCTTGATTGGATGTGATGCCTAAAATGACACTTTAACCATCTAGATTGGATGTGATGCCTACAATGACAGAAACCAGAGGGTCGTGGGGCTCCTGGCTAGAGTTTCTCTTCTCCGCCCTGGGCTCCATGGTAGGACTGGGGAATATATGGAGGTTTCCCTACGTGTGCTATCAGAATGGCGGAGGTACGTGTTTGAATATAAGTGAACATCTATTTGTTAAATCAGATCATTTACTGTGTGCTAGCATGGTGACGGATGCATATCTTCTCAAATGTTTCAAGGAATGGGAAGTGTAAGTTGTATGCACTAATGCAATCAGTCAAGACACCTTTAAGGAATTTGGGTTATTGTTTTTACACTGGTGTAATGTCTTTTACAGGAGCGAATGTTACTCTTAAAGTATGTGTACTGTATGACGTTTATCTGCTAGAGTAGGCCTGCAAAACATACGGCCAGCCAGAACCCACTTTGCGGCCCGCGAAGTAACGAGATATGTTTTATTATTATTATTTTCTTAATAGCTCCCCCCCCCCGCCCCGGTCCTATTATCTTTCGGCCCGCACAAGTTGTTCATAAAGTTTTACGGCCCGCCTCGCTGTTTGAGATGTGCAGGCCTGTGCTAGAGTATTTTTTTTTCGCTATGATTGGGGCATTGACATTCAAACGAGCATTGGATTTGTGATTGATTCTAGCCGACAACTGAAGAGAGGCTTTATCCTCCCAGTGTTTAAAGTTTCCGAGATACATTTTCACTGTGATAAAAGCGCATTTTCAGTGTATTAAGTTTATGAGCTTCACTAACACTAACACCCATTGTCACGCACATATTTGTTTACTCTTTGTCGTCGTCCCCCCCCCCCAACCCCCAGGAGCTTTCCTGATACCTTTCTTTGTTGCCATGCTGGTGTGGGGATGCCCACTGCTTTTTTTGGAGATCCTCTACTGCCAGTACTCCTTTCAGTGTATTAAGTTTATTAGCTTCACTAACACTAACCCCCATTGTCACGCACATATTTGTTTACTCTTTGTCGTCGTCCCCCCCCCCCAACCCCCAGGAGCTTTCCTGATACCTTTCTTTGTTGCCATGCTGGTGTGTGGATGCCCACTGCTTTTTTTGGAGATGCTCTACTGCCAGTACTCCAGCCTTGGTCCGGGCAAGGTCTGGGTCATTTGCCCACTCTTCAAAGGTTTGATGTTGCTCGCTGACGTGGCATAGGGCCTAAATCTTTAACGTCAATTTTGGCCAGTGTTACCACAGGAAAACCAAAAAAATAAAATAGTAAAGAAAATTAAGAACCAAATACAGTGCAATAACTTAAGTTGTTTTCCTTTTCTAAAAAAAAATGTGGTGCACAGGGAATATTTCATGGAAGAGTATTTATGTAGCAACCTAATTATTGAAAACTATGCAGCAATATAAAAAAAGCGTGGATTGGTTTAAATCAGGTATTGGCTGCGGTATGATGATCCTAACCTTCGTGGTCTCCATCTACTACACCATGATCATGGGCTGGACGCTGTACTACCTGGCGATGTCGTGCAGCGCTGTGCTCCCTTGGACTCTGTGCCCTGACAACCAGACGGCGGTCGCTGCATGTGTCACTGCAACCAATGGCAGGTAATCAGTTGTACCAAGAATGGAAGGTATCCTGGTGTACCGGGGAAGACAGGTATCCCTTTTAACCGAGACTGGCCGGCAATCTGTTGTACCAAGAATGACGCGCCATGAATGGTAGCGGAAAATAAAGGTAACATGTTGTGCCAATATTGGGCAAGTGCCGTGTTGTAGCGCCAATGAGAAAATTGATAGGTTGTACCAAGTAAGTTTTGTACCAGGGATGACGTGGAAAAATATTTTCTTCAAAAATAGAATTGAATATGTTGAACTAATATGATATTCAAAATGATGCACCAAGAATGACAGGTAATCGGCTCTAGAAGGACCTGGATATTTAAGGAGCTCAAAGCTGTGATGTTGACAATGTTTAAGTATCGGCTTTGAATGCAGGGTGCACATCACCAAAAAGTGCCAGGGTGCCGCGAAAAGTCACGTGACGTCTGTGTTGGTCGGATGTACCGAGAATGAGATTTAATCTGTTGTACCGAGAATGAGATTTAATCTGTTGTACCGAGAATGAGATTTAATCTGTTGTACCGAGAATGAGATTTAATCTGTTGTACCGAGAATGAGATTTAATCTGCTGTACCGAGAATGAGACTTAATCTGTTGTACCGATAATGAGATTTAATCTGTTATACCGAGAAGGAGACTTAATCTGTTGTACCGAGAAGGAGACTTAATCTGTTGTACCGAGAATTAACTGTAATTGAAACGCTCTAAAGAGTTTTAAATATTCATAAAATACCTTAGCCTACTAATCTCATTACCGTAGCCTACTAATCTCATTACCTTAGCCTACTAGTCTCATTACCGTAGCCTACTAATCTCATTACCTTATTCTACTAAGCTCATTACCGTAGCCTACTAATCTCATTACCTTATTCTACTAATCACATTACCTTAGCCTACTACTCTCATTACCTTAGCCTACTAGTCTCATTACTTTAGCCTACTAATTTTATTACATTAGCCTACTAATCTCATTACCGTAGCCTACTAATCTCATTATTTTAGCCTACTAATTGTATTACATTAGCCTACTAATCTCATTACCTTAACCTACTAGTATCATTACCTTAGCCTACTAATCTCATTACTTTAGCCTACTAATTTTATTACAGTAGTTACTAATCGCATTACCTTAGTTTACTAATCTCATAGCTATTAAGATCAAATCTGTATAGATATCAAATAAAAACGAATATACATTTTCCTAGGAAAATGTGTCCATTTTTTTTTCCAAAACGATGAAAGTTCAATTTAAAATTTAATTAATAAAACAAAATGTCCATCTTATTTGTTTTGTATTTTTCTTCCAGCTTTCACAATGTAACGGCCACTCTTAAAAATACCACAACGAGCGAAGTAACCCATCTTACCCAGAGCTACGTGTCCACAGAAGAAGCTTTTTGGTTGTAAGTGAAAAAAAAAAAAAACGATTAGCTATTGAAATACTTAATACATGCAGAGGCACCGTATACGGCAAACCTGTTGCTCTTCCTTGATTTATTTGTAGAGTCTTACTCTTGATATATAGGTTTGCGAAATTCACTTTTTTTCCCCGCCACAACTGTGGCTGTTTTAGAAGAAAAAATAAAAGGTTTCCCATCTTGGTCTAGGAACGATAATCCAATGATGATCACAGCGTTCAACCTAAATGAACACTCAACACAGTGTTCTCATGTCATGAGCAAAGCTGTCTTACGCACCTCGCACAGGAAAGACGTTATGTTTTAATTATTTTTTTTTTTGTGCACTAATAAAAATTTACCTTATACGTCCATTACCAACCTAGCTTCAGCATGATCCTCATGTCCCTTAGTCCTTGGACCGTTGGGGCGCCACAGATGACATGTGAACTATCCGCCTCCATTCGTCTCTGTCTTCTGCACTGCGCACAGCATCGCACAGTGTTAGTCCTGTCCACTCTTTGATGTTATCCTCCCATCTTTTTCTTTGTCTTCCTCTTCTTCTCCCTCCTCTTGTGGTGCCCTGCAATATTTCTTTGGCAAGCCCTTGTAGTTTGCATTTTTTCAACCTAGCTTAAGCGCAAAAATTATGATTTTTTTTACATTTCATTTGTAAAGCTCATATAAGGAAAAACATGAATGTGGATCTCCGGATCCAGGCATTTCCCATGACCCGAAATGCGTTTTTTCCACCCCACACAATCTCAGGAAACATCTATCAACAAGATTCCACAAATCCTTCATAAATTACTGAAATCTCACCACTTACATCATACTACATCCTATTACTAGAATAAGGATAAGTATAGACGTCAAGGGCGTAGGAAGGGGGTGCAGAGGGGCGGCATTTCGGGAGACTCGCAGCTTTTCCTTTCATGTGCGTTACAGTCGTAATTGGATGAGATATATATTGCTGTTGTACAAAATTATATCAAGCTTTGTACCCACTAGTTTAACTGCAGTCAATTGTACATTAAATAGAAAACACTTTGGACGCCCTTAAATACTTGCATCAGGGGGGTTGAGCTCCCATGTCCGTCATCCATATCAACGCATCTGCCCAGGGCGCTCCTCTAGCGTGACCCTCACGGAAAAATCCGAAACAAACTAGTGTATTTATTTCTTCTAAAAATCCATTCTTACTGTCGTATGTACGCAGGATCTTTATGAGTAATTTTGGAAGATTAGCCGCTGATCTCCCACAGAGTCCAGGCGTAACCAACAAATACTTTAATGAGCCAGAGAGTTGGTTTTTTTTCCAGGTACCTTCTGAGGCATAAATCTGCAACGTTATATTAAACTGATCATATGGAGAAGTGGTGAACATTGGTGACTTTGTGTCACAATCTCAGACTCCGACAGTGGAACATTATTACTCCGACAGTGTAACATTATTGACTCCGGCAGTGGAACATTATTGACTCCGACAGTGGAACATTATTGACTCCGACAAGGGATTTTTTTTTTTCGATATCGGAACATTATTTGCTACAGATTAGGATTTAGTGGTTACAAAAAAATTCCTAACTTTGATCATTAATTATTGCTCTAACAGTAAAGATGTCCTTGGTTTGAGCCCAGGCATTGAAGAGATGGGATCCATCCGGTGGCCATTGCTGTTGTGTTTACTTGCAGCTTGGATTATTGTCAGTCTTTGTCTCATAAAGGGAATTAAAAGTATGGGCAAGGTCAGTCGGTAGTTTTCTGTTGTTTTTACTGTGGGGTTTTTTTTTATTCTGTTGTTTTTATTTGGGTTGGGTGGAAGGTATAAGGCTGTTGAGTATACATTAATATAGCACTCAATGTCATTTTCCTACTCAGATCTTGACTCTTATATTTGGACTTGGTCGTTCATTTCTTGAACAGAATCTCACCAGCGTTCTGAGCAGTGAGTCTGCATTTGGCGTATTTGTCTCAATAAGTAGCCCCGGTGCAATCAGTGAGAAGATCTTTCCCAATCGTCTATTGAAGACATGGGTGCCGGAGGCACTGGGGTGATGGAGAGCAGGGCATTAGGTCCTTATCACATACTCTTACACCCCTCAAAACCTCAGGCTACTTATGGGTGGTGGAGAGTGGGGCATTAGGTCCTTATCACATACTCTTACACCCCTCAAAACCTCAGGCTACTTATGGGTGGTGGAGAGTGGGGCATTAGGTCCTTATCAAATACTCTCACACCCCTCAAAACCTCAGGCTGCCACTATGGGGTGTGGAGAGTGGGGCATTAGGTCCTTATCAAATACTCTCACACCCCTCAAAACTTCAGGCTGGCACTATGGGTGGTGGAGAGTGGGGCATTAGGTCCTTATCAAATACTCTCACACCCCTCAAAACCTCAGGCTGCCACTATGGGTGGTGGAGAGTGGGGCATTAGGTCCTTATCACATACTCTCACACCCCTCAAAACCTCAGGCTGCCACTATGGGTGGTGGAGAGTGGGGCATTAGGTCCTTATCAAATACTCTCACACCCCTCAAAACCTCAGGCTGCCACTATGGGTGGTGGAGAGTGGGGCATTAGGTCCTTATCAAATACTCTCACACCCCTCAAAACCTCAGGCTGCCACTATGGGTGGTGGAGAGTGGGGCATTAGGTCCTTATCAAATACTCTCACACCCCTCAAAACCTCAGGCTGCCACTATGGGTGGTGGAGAGTGGGGCATTAGGTCCTTATCAAATACTCTCACACCCCTCAAAACCTCAGGCTGCCACTATGGGTGGTGGAGAGTGGGGCATTAGGTCCTTATCAAATACTCTCACACCCCTCAAAACCTCAGGCTGCCACTATGGGTGGTGGAGAGTGGGGCATTAGGTCCTTATCAAATACTCTCACACCCCTCAAAACCTCAGGCTGCCACTATGGGTGGTGGAGAGTGGGGCATTAGGTCCTTATCAAATACTCTCACACCCCTCAAAACCTCAGGCTGCCACTATGGGTGGTGGAGAGTGGGGCATTAGGTCCTTATCACATACTCTCACACCCCTCAAAACCTCAGCCTGCCACTATGGGTGGTGGAGAGTGGGGCATTAGGTCCTTATCAAATACTCTCACACCCCTCAAAACCTCAGGCTGCCACTATGGGTGGTGGAGAGTGGGGCATTAGGTCCTTATCACATACTCTCACACCCCTCAAAACCTCAGCCTGCCACTATGGGTGGTGGAGAGTGGGGCATTAGGTCCTTATCAAATACTCTCACACCCCTCAAAACCTCAAGCTGTCATGATGCAGAGAACGTCACAGACACCCGTCCCCATGTTTGTTTGAGTGTCTTGGGGAGGGGAGTATGGGGTGTTATGTCTGAGGGTGCCACCTCGTCCCACCTGATAAAGAAGAGAGCCATGAAGCCGATTGTTCGAGGGCGCAGGGTTTGGGCTGGCACCCCTTCATAAAGTTTTATTTAGGTAGTTGCAACTTTTTTATTAAGCAAATTTTAATTTCAATCCATGCTATTTCTGTTTTTGTCTTCAGCTGGTGAAGGCATTTTGCAGAAACGTCTCATATTTATGTTGGGTCCTTCCTGTTTACTCACACAATTTCTTAGTGTCTTAAATTATATGTCCGTGTCTTTAGGTGGTCTATGTAGCAGCGTCGGCGCCATATGTCATACTGACGTGTCTTTTGATAAGGGGCTGCCTGCTGCCTGGGTCTGGCGATGGGTTGTATTACTACATGGTCCCAGCCTGGAGCAAGCTGATGGAGTTTGAGGCAAGTCAATGAGGCTGTCGATCTTAAACTGTTTCTGGCAACGAGAAAAACCTATAAATCCACGCAGGGCCGTGCGAAGGGGCGTAAATGGGGACACTCGCCTCGAGTGATTATATCAGGCAGGCGCCAAAATCCACTTTAGATATGTATAGGACCTTTATAATGGATTAAACAATAAAATACCGTGTACTTAAAGGCAAGGGGCGCCAAAAATCATTTCGGGCTGCACTTTTTGCTATATGGGGGCGTCATATTCATGCTTCAATCTAGGACGGTTTGTCTCGTTACTTCCCGGAACACATGCTAATAAGCAAGGTAGAATCTACAAAAATCAATTATTTTAGATTAAAAGGCGATTTAGTTTAATATACTAACAAGTCCAATGAAGGTTTTCAAATGGGAACCACCATCGTTAAAACGTCTACGGTTAACAATGAGTCTTACTAACAGTGTGGGGCAACCGTTTCAGTATCGAGTCTCGCTAACTGCATGCGCTACTCGTGACAACACTCGAAACAGAAAGGTACAGAAGGGGAACCGCTGGTGCATTGCCATTGACAGGCGACGTGAAGTTAAAGACGTTGAAAGTCAAGAGTGTATGAATTGGAAGGGCTAAAAAGGGGAGGGGGGAGGTGTTGTGGTCAATCAACGTCTGTAATGTTTTCATATTTGCCATTTACTGTGTGTGTTTTTTCGTGAGTGAGTGCGTGCGTGGTCGTGCGTGGGAACGGGCATTGGTTTCGTTTTCGGAAAAAAAAATTGTTAAATACTTTACAGCTAATATTTCATCCACATCTGAAGGTAGGTTATAAGCATTCAAAACAAGACGGATTTTCGCTTTACTAAATGTGTAAAATCTTGAGTTGAAATATTTTAGCAAATAACCTCCCATTTTCCATTATATATATATATATATATATATATATATATATATATATATATATATTTTTTTATGTTCGTCCATGTTTGGAGAAGTGCTGCCACGCAAGTTTTCTTCTCCATTGGTATGGGTTTCGGTCTCATCTCTACACTTAAATATTTTAAAAAATAACCTCCTATTTTTTATTATATATATATATATATATATATATATATATATATATATATATATTTGTTCATGTTCGTCCAGGTTTGGAGAAGTGCTGCCACGCAAGTTTTCTTCTCCATTGGAATGGGTTTCGGTCTCATCTCTACACTGGCCAGTTACAACAAGTTCAATAACAACTGTTATAGGTAGACTAAGTCTTTGTCTTGTGTGAATATTGTGTTCAAGCAAGACAGATTTTTTTTTTCTTCAAAGAAACAAAGAAAACTAGAACAATTAACTTGCCTCAAGAGTTTCAGTTCTTGATGAGATTTTCTCGGTGATATTTTCTTGAAGAGTTTTTGTTTTTGTTTTTTTGGTGAGATTTTACCAACAGACTTTCTGTCAGAAAATTAATATTTTTAATGATAAATTATGTCATAGTAATGAACACTGGAATGTCGTAATTAACAATGTTATGTCGTAATTAACAATGTTATGTCGCAATTATCAATGTTATGTCGTAATTAAATATGTAATGTCGTAATGAAAAATGCTTTGTCGTAATTAAAAATAATATGTCGTAATGGACAATGTAATGTCATAATGAACAATGTAATGTCGAAATGAATAATTTAATGTCGTAATGAGCAATTTAATGAAATTTAATTCAAGCTATTTAAGCATTGCTATTCCCAGGGACGCTCTTATCTTGCCTCTACTGGACTGTCTGACCAGTGTGTACGCAGGGATGGTCATCTTTGCTTTCCTGGGTTACATGGCGCACATTTCAAACAAATCAATAGACAACGTAGTTGATGAAGGTAATTCTTTGTTTTGGTCGATTAGAACGCAGTTGTCGATTATAGTTCATTCCTTTCAGACACCACGAAAGTCAAAAGTGTCGTCGCTAACATCCCGCGTCCTAGCAAACAGGACCCTTGGTGGAAGTAGGGTTGCCGACACCAGAGTTCTAATGAGCCAAATGAGAGCAAAACACTGCCTACTAAAGCATACTTTCATAGGCTAGACAACAAGAGGGACCCGACCTGCCGGCATTGCAGCCTGGTCCCGGAAACTCTAGCGCACCTGTTGACCGAATGCCCAGCGCTGGACGTTGCGTGGCAGGCCAGGGCGGTGGGAGAGTCCTGCATTACGACGATTTTATACGGCCCAGCCCATCAGAAGGGGGCTGACGGCCAATGTTCTAGCCGGGGCTTAAAGAGCGTTGGCCCAAACCCCCACCAGAATATGTGCGTTAGTTAGTTCATTCCATTGGTCATCATTCATCGCAGCAGTAGTTTAATGACACGCCGAAGCTTGAATTTCCTCCTGACATTTAGTGACCATCATATTTTAACATTAAAAATTGAACTGGAACATTCTTACTTCTAGGACCTGGCCTGGTGTTCATCGCGTACCCTACAGCCCTATCCACGCTTCCCCTCCCTCAGCTGTGGTCAGTTCTGTTCTTCCTGATGCTATTTTGTGTGGGTCTCGACAGCCAGGTAATTGACAACTGCATGTACGCGTATTATTATAATAGGAAAAAAAAAAGGGAGAAGGGGGGGGGGGGGGGGGGGGAAATGGAACGCAACAAAACAACGAACGTGTCGGCAGGAAGCCTTCATCAGCGAAAAAACAACAGAAAGAAAAAAAACGAATAAAATATAGCACCTATAGCTGGGAAGTAGTGCCCACGAGGGAAGCGAAAGAATTGTTATTGATAAAATAGCGTGTTCCGTGCCTAGAGTATCAAATGAAGATATTTCCATTGTCCTTAAGAAAATGTTAACAACGCTCCCCCGTCCTTCTAACTCTATGTTAAATCATTTTTTTTTAAAAATCCTTTCTATTAACTTTTGTTTGGGTGTTTAAGGCAAAATTTCAGACGGCTCATTGACATATTTCCCGTCAGCCTATCGAGCTGAAACTGGACACGCACACTCGTTGCCGATGACAACATATTTTAGAAAATTTTAAGCCCCACCCCCATCCTCCGAAAATCTTTTTTTCCCCTGTTTTTCAAAAGGAAGATGAAGGAAATATGATGCCACTGATTTCTTGAAATTAATTTCCGGTAACTGCGCTAAAAAAAAAATGTTTTGTTAAATATTTTATTTTGTTTTTCTGAAATAGTTGGTGAAATAAATCTGCGGTGTAAAAGTGGTTTGCACGTATAGAATATTGATATAACGTCAAATAATTGCAGATGCATATAACGGATTTATACGAACAACTTAATTTTTTGGTGCTTGTCAGTTTTAAAATACATAATGAATACCTAAGGCATCACCATCGAACTTGACGGTTACGCATGCTTTCCGTCGTGATGCGAAGCACACCTCAGACGTCATGAAGAGTTTCAGGGAAAGGTCTGTCATTCTTGAACTCAACACGATTCTTGATTTATTGGGGATGGGAGAGTCGTAGTTTTGTTGATAACAAAAATTGTCCCGTTCCCAGCCTGTGGCAAACTAATCTCTACGACCTCTGAAAGGGATTGTGGTGGTAAAATATCGACTTAACCGAGACCCTGAGGCGCATTCAGATGTGACTCGCGAGCTAATCTGATCTAATATACTTAAGAAAAACAGTAGACTATCGAGCCGAAGCTCATGAAGCCTTCCCCAACGAGTCCCCCGCTAAACTCTAACTGGCCATCAACTACATCCCCCAGTAGTCTGTATTCCAGTCGGGCCGCGACGCTGCACGTCATGAACTTTCCGCCCCTGAGATCAAGCTCAATGAGCTAGTTAACATAATGGATCCACTCAACACATTGACATGAAACTTAGTGTTCAAATTCAATAGACCGACCGCGATTTCCATACTGAAATATAACATGTGTATTTCATTGGACAACAAATTATATACTTTTCTTTTAGTTTTACAACCCTGATGCACTTGTAGCTAACACACACACACACACAAACACACACAAATGGTGTGGGGAGTGGGGGGAATTCGTTTTCGGATTCATCCTTGGTGAATTTTTGTACGGAATATTCCATGTGGAGAGTTTTCTGTAAGGGCCGTATTTGAATTAGGAATAAGTCTGTGCGGAATATTCGGGTGTGGAATAAATATTTGCTCCATTCAATTATTTGCTTATAGCCTCTTCGACCGCGGTGTATTTTAAGACAAAATGTCCATTCCCTTTTGTGCAGGTCCGTGGCATCCCAACTGCCCTATGCCTATATTCTAGTTTATGCATTCCCGAGGTATCACACTGTCCCCTTTCTGTCCATTCCAGTTTATGCACATTCAGGCCATCACAACTGCCCTCTCTGATTGTTTCCCATCGGTTCTGATGGCGAGAAGAACAATGTTGACATTCGGTGTGTGCCTGATAAGTTTTCTGCTCGGTATCCCATTAGCCTCGCAGGTATTGTATTCAGTTGAGCCTGTTATATTACTGACATAAGTACGGTAGCTTTAAAAAACAGAATCAGTAATCGGAATAATGCAAATAAAACAAGTATGGTAGCTGTGAAACTAAAAGAATCAGAAATCGGAATAATGCAAATGAAGAAATACGGTAGCTCAATTTAAGGAAAACAAATTTTAATAATAAAGTTATGAATTGAACTAAACAACATTTTTCAAACGCATACATTGTCCGAACTTCAGGGAGGTTTCTACATTCTGAATTTAATGGACTGGTACATCGCCAGTGTCTCGGTCATGCTGATTGCATTTGTGGAGGTTATGGTTCTGGCCTGGGTGTATGGTAAGTCTTGTGATGTGCGGTAAGGTGCATCGTAAATCAGTCACGTGTGGCAGGGTGTATGGTAAGTCAGTCACGTGATGTAAGATTGGGTGTATGGTAATTCAGTCACGTGATGTACAATTGGGTGCATTGTAAGTCAGTCACGTGATATGAGATTGGGTGTGTTGTAATTCAGTCACGTGATGTGCTGTTGGGTGTGTTGTAAGTCAGTCACGTGATGTGAGATTGGATGTATGGTAAGTCAGTCACGTGATGTTCGGTTGGGCGTGTGTTATGCCAGTCACGTGATGTGTAAACGATGTCATTCAGACAGCTGACTGAGACGTCTGATTTTTTTTAAAGCATGTTTTGGAAATCCATTTGTTAACTGTTTAACATGAACACTTTTTGGGGAAATAAACCAAGCCTTCATGAAAACGTTCATCCATGTCAACATAATCAGATGGATTAACTTTGTGGATGTCTCATCAAAAATACTCAGATTGACAATGTCGAATTTCCAGAAAGACAATTTCAAAAACACAGACTGGCAGTATGAACTACCCAGACTGATATTGGAAAATACTTACACTTACCATTCCCAATACGAAGACTGATGCTGTCAATTTGCCAGATTGACAATGTCAAATTCCCAGGCAAACAATTTCAAAACCACAGACTGAAAATGTTAAATACCCAGGACACGGACTGAAAACTGCAAATACCCAGACTCACATTGAAAGGCAAACACTTAGACTGCCCTAAACACAAAAAGTTTCGAGTAATCAGTGCCGATTATCCTCTATGTCGATTATGCTATGCACACTAAGACATTGTCTCAAATAAACAACAACATATACGAAAATGAACGAATCTTTCCTACAAATAAATTGTGCAATTAAGTGCAAAGGGAGAAAAAAAATGGGGGGTGGAGGGGGGTGATTGGCTTGCATTGTTAGCTTGACTTGTCTTTCTTCTTTGCGCAATCACCATTATTAAGTTTGGGCCTGCGTTCCACCTGTTATCATATGTAAGCTTAGAGTATCTGTTCATGAAAAATTAATGTCACTACCTGTTTTCTAATCCTTTATTTTTACCAAACCATTTGAACAGGCACAGACAGCTTGTACGACGACATCAACGCCATGATAGGATTCAGGCCAAACCCCGTGTGGAAGTATGCATGGAGATACTTCACTCCAATCTTCGTCTTGGTAATTTAACGACAGTTTTTTGGATTTTTTTTTTTTGTTTTGTTGTTGATGTTGCTGTTGTTGTTGTTGATGTTGTTGTTGCTCTGTTTTATTTTACACAGCGGATTAAATGGCACGTCATTCGGCCATGATATGCAGCTGTAGTGGGTCGAAATGTGGCGGATCGCAGTGTGGTGGGTCGAATTGTGGTGGGTCGAATTGTGGTGGGTCGCATTGTGGTGGGTTGAACTGTGGTTGGTCGTTCTGTGGGGAGGTCGAACTGTGGTGGGTCGAATTGTGGTGGATCAAATTGTGGTGGGTCGAATTGTGGTGGGTTGAACTGTGGTGGGTCGAATTGTGGTGGGTTGAACTGTGGTTGGTCGTTCTGTGGGGAGGTCGAACTGTGGTGTGTCGAATTGTGGTGGTCCGAACTGTGGTTGGTCGTTCTGTGGGGAGGTCGTTGTGGTGGGTTGAATTGTGGTGGGTTGGACTGTGGTGGGTCGAATTGTGGTGGGTTGAACTGTGGTTGGGTGTTCTGTGGGGAGGTCGAACTGTGGTGTGTCGAATTGTGGTGGTCCGAACTGTGGTTGGTCGTTCTGTGGGGAGGTCGAACTGTGGTGGGTCGAATTGTGGTGGTCCGAACTGTGGTTGGTCGTTCTGTGGGGAGGTCGAACTGTGGTGGGTCGAATTGTGGTGGGTTGAACTGTGGCGGGTAGAATGAGGTGGGTCAACCACGGATGATGCAAGTTACAGCCGTCCTGTCAACTGATTGATGATATAAATGAGTTGCTGACCCGAATAGAGACAGACGCTAAAGAGTTGCATCAAAACAGGCAACGAACTCGTCGCGATTTACCCCATCCTTTATGAAAAATAAAAAAGAATAACAAAAGTGCAGAAAGTATTACATTGCCTGTGTTAACTCTATTACCTAGTAATGTTCTTTTAACTCCACTTGCTTTCCTCTCAGATACTGGATTGCAGTTAATTTGTTTGGGCTTTTGAGGATTTTCCCGTTATTTTGTTTTTAATCCTTTTTTTTTTTGTTACACAAAAAATAATAAGTTTATATTCTTAGAATAAATTATTTTTTGTGTTAATTTTTTGTGTTAATAAATAATTTATTCTAAGAATATAAACTTATTATTTTAAAATTCTATCGTTAAAAAAAAAAAGTGGAGGTTTTTCTATTTTTTTCTATTTTTATTTATTTATTTATTTATTTATTTTTAAATAAATAACATTGTCATAGTTTACCGCTTTTGAACCAACTGTCTATTGCCAGGTGCTGTGGACTTCGGGTTTGGTCAATTTTAAAACTATTGGATCGGTGTACAGAGGGTATCCCCCATGGGCAGATGGGATAGGGATGGTCATCGCTATACTACCAGTACTGGCCATACCCGTCAAACTGGTTTGGACTTTACTTAAGATAAAGGGCAGTTTGAAACAGGTAAACCGTTAAGGAGAAAAAAAAAATAATTTTAAATGTGTCGTGTACTGCGTTCCGAAATGTTTATAGAAATTTCAAACTTACAACAGTCCTTTATTTAAAAAGCCAATGTAGACTAGATCGATCAAGATGTATTTGTAGAATAGATCTGACAATTCAATACGCAGAATAGATCTGCCAAGTCTATGGATAGAAGAAGAGAGTGCCAAGTTTATTTATATTAACTGACATTTCTATTTGAAAACGACATTTGTACAAAAACAAAAACAAATAATTCTGACATTTTATATTTTAGAGACTTCGCCAGTCATTACGCCCTTCACCTTTATGGAGACCAGCGGTTAACCCTGACGTTAGTGGGGATTTGGAGTTGAAGAGCTTAAATAAGTCAAAAGTATAAAGGGGTGTCTAGGTAGGAATTAGCTTTACTGTTTGTTGGTGTATATAGTCCTACAATTATATATATATATATATACATATTATTTTACCCACTTTTTTCCAAATGAGATAATTAAATTTGTTTTCTAAAACAGTTTAGTTGTTTTTTTTTAATTCACTGTGCACTATCAGTAGCCTGATTGGGGGTGGGTGACATTGGTTTGGCTTCTACCACTCAGGACGTGGGGATAGACAGACACCCCTGAATGGAATTGCCTTGTTATTTTGTTTGTCTGTTTGTTGTTGTACTTTCCGTCTATTAATTGTATTTACAATAAGATGAGTAGGATCGTCGTCGTAAATTTCTTGAGTTTGATTTCAGAGGTGTGCTGCCCATCAGGCAACAAACGGTTCAGAACTTGTCTGCTATAGAAAAAAAAAAATGCCAATTTATTTTTATATTTTTAACAACCGGTTCTGTAGAATATTGAAAATTAAACCACCAGTTATCCATAACCGGATTGAACCGGCTCAGACACTACCACTGGTTGATGTACATTGGCCAGATTTAAAAAAAAATAAAAAATTAAGGTTGATGCCGCATGCCTGAAGATAAATAATGGTGTAATTTTCGAATAATCTCCCTTTATGATCAGTTTATCATTCCTCTAAGATTTTACTGTCAATGACTGCCTTTTAATTCTTCATGCACAACTAGTTATTCTTATGTATTTCCATATAAAAAGTACAAGAAATAATTGTGCGCCCTCTTCTCCCCGCCCCCTCTCAAAATATGCACATTGTAATTAAGTTGACATTTAATAGATCTAAATGTACAATATTTTTTTGTTTTTTTAAAGATTGAGAACCCTTGAGCTTGTTGACACTGATTTGCTGCGATGCTTTCATTGATAGAAAATATGAAAATTAAAGTGAAAAATTAAAAAATGTTATGGATTTTTTGTTTTATTCGTTTTGCTATTTCCTTCTTAAAGTTGACAACATGGCTGCATGATGTGCCAGGACAAATGGAGTTAAACCCTACAGATGATAATCGCATACAAGTTATTACACGTTGTCCCAACAACAGTTTGATAATGGGAAACTTGGCCATTAACAAACCTCAGGAAACAGTCAATATTTGGGAGCTTATAACACATGACATGGGGAATAATGAAGAGTTGCTTGGCCTGGCTACTAAAGTTTGGTAGAGTCATTATCATGAGATCAGGGGCGTAGGTACGAATGGGCAACATAACCCCTTGCCCCGGCTACTAAGGTTTTGTAGTCTTATCGTCCTCTTATTATAGGGGTAGTTAGTAGTCACTGTAAATCGCTATAATTCTCTACGTATACAAAAATGTACGGTGTAATGGTGCGTTCAATAGCACACGAAAAAAAAAATGTCCGATAAATGCGCTAAATGAGATTCTTAAAATTGTGCAAGAGCGTTTGGTGCGTAATATTTCCTTTTGCTTTACGGAATTAATCTTTATTAATATGATGTAATAGATCTGCGGCAAAAAAAGTTGGTTGGACATTAGAGTATTAATATAGTTCAGGGGCGTACAAAAATTGTACGGCGGTGTGCATGAGGGATGGAGGTTAGCAATAATTGTGATTGTTAATAGAGTGCGTTACTTGAATGCACGGTTTGTCAAGTAACTGTTGTAGGTGAGAAGTTCACGCATTGCCACCGCCATTTTGTTACGAGCTTAATAACAAGTTATGAATTAAAAAAACAAAAGAATGCAGAGTGAGTCATGTGTTGTTGTTTTCTTCGTCCTTCGCGTGCGAAGATGACCAAAGCAATTTCTGACTTGGTTAGTAGCCCTGACTTGAGCTGTATTTTGTTTTCAGTGAGGGAGAGTTGCTCAATTCATCAGCCGCATTCTCTCGTCCTTGCCTTACTTGATCCAATGGCAAGACTTGGTCAAGACGACCATGAGAAGATGACCAGCAGTGTGAGGCGTGTGTGATTCAGCGTGCTCTTTATGTGTTCACACGCCTCAGGAATGGCCGGAAGCTTCAGTGAGCCAATGTCATACAGCCTATGGGGCTCCATCTCCGGATTTCATTTCAGAGTTTGCATTCTCTTAGATGAGTTGCCATCGAAGGTTAACGATCCCCAACTAACCCGGGATGCTGGTGATGTCTTTGATAGTCTAGTTATTTTCAGGGAATTTAAGTCCAGTCCTGGGGATTGAACTTCAGTAATTGGGATTTAAATCCAGTCCTTGGCATTGAACTCCATTCCTAAGGATTGAACTCCATTCCTAAAGATTGAACTCCAGTCCACTAGCTTGGGATTGACTCAGTTTAGACCGATCGGCTATCTAGCAAGCCATTTAATTAAGCGTGACAGGAGACAGTTGGCAACTTATGGATTAGAATCTTAACCATCTCTGTCATCACAGGCACCACCTTAGCTAACGGACCTAACAGCTTTACCGGAGCCTCTGTCGTCTACGCCATTGCTTGAAGATGAGACTTTCATTTATTCAGCCATGTTTTAGGCATCACATTTTTCAAACTTTTTTTTTTTTTGTTGATCCTATGAAACTAGATCGATAACTATTGATTTCTTGTATCTTCCACTATCTGAATCGATCCTGTTAGCATCCAAGGTCAAAGTGTGACGTAATGATCAAGTTATCAAACTGGGTCAATGCTGTAAAAGAGGGGCATCTATAAATGACGTCAACCTATTTTGGTCAACTTTCTTTGTACCCCATAGGCAATAACTCGTCACAAATTTAAAAAATTTTTATTAACACATCGTCACAAATTCTTTCTTTCCCTCCAACCCCCACCCCACTTTAAAAAAAAAATCTAGATCATTGGTTCTCAACGTTCCTAATGCCACGACCCTTTAATACAGTTCCTCGTGTTGTGGTGACCCGCAACCAGGAAATTAATTTCGTTGCTACTTCATAATCATAAATATGTTGGTTTTTTTTTGTTGTTTTTTTATGATCTTAGGCAACCCCTGAGTAAGGGTCGTTCGACCCCCCCCCCCACACACACACTTAAGGGGTCATGACCAACAGGTTGAGAACCGTTGATCTAGATGGTGACATCATTTAAGGATGGCCTCTCGGTAACCAGGCCATGAAAACAGCCCCGTTGAAAAAGTGTAACACGTTACAGCGGGGCGCTCGTCCTTATTCTGTTATCAACTGTACCCGGGGCTTCTCAAACCGTTTAACCGCCCACTAAATCAGCCATTCCGAACGTGATAACGTGCTGACACTTATTTGTCATTCATGCTAAAATAAGTTGTCATAAAAAAAATATATGTAAAACTATTAACATGCACTCTTTAATTTTTACGTGTGAATATGTCGTCCAGATTAGCAAGAAGCACTAGAAGTTTAGAAGTTTGGCAATAATGATGGCTTCATACATTATTTGCATCAGAACTTGAAAGGTAAAAATGGCCTGAAATGCGATTATTCAATAAGGATTGGAAAACTGTATTGGATCTATTAAATGCAGTCAGTCTCTCTCTCTCTCTGTCTCTCTCTCTCTCTCTCTCTCTCTCTCTCTCTCTCTCTCTCTCTCTCTCTCTCTCTGTCTCTCTCTCTCTCTCTTATTCTTTTTCTCTCACTCACTTACTGTATATACTTTTATAAATTAAAGATATATGTTTTCTCTCTCTCTCTCTCCTTTTATTGTATTGTTTTTATTTATAAGGATTGGAAAACTGTATTTGATCTATTAAATGCAGTCAGTCTCTCTCTCTCTCTCTCTCTCTCTCTCTCTCTCTCTCTCTCTCTCTCTCTCCCTCTCTCTCTCTCTCTCTCTGTCTCTCTCTCTCTGTCTCATTCTTTTTCTCCGACTGACTTACTGGATGTACCGTAATAAATGCATGCTATATGGTTTCTCTCTCTCTCTCTCCTTTTAAAGGATTGCATTTATTGACGTGAAGCTAAGAGCCACAGAATGAAATGCACGTGTTTTACCAGAACACTATCTGCACTACCGTGGAATTTCAAGAGTATCTTATACCCGGAGTTTGACGTAGGGGTCACAAAAATACTACGTAGCAGGCGTTGAACAATTCATTAAGGCCTGAATTCCGTCTAAGACATTTTTTTTTTAAAAATTAATGAAGTATCAGAGCTTTTTAAACACTGAGTTTTTGAAGGCTTCTCAACTTGAGTCAGTGATTTAGTTTTAGGGATAGTGGCCCCTGGGGCAATAACAGATCCTCCCTCCCCTCCCTCCCTCCCCCCTCCCCCACACATACTTTTCCCACCCTTCATAAAAATTCTGCAGTTGGCCGAAAAATTCATTATAATAAGAAAAATGTGACTTCAAGGGCGGACCACTCAAGCCGTTACCCACCCCCACCCCCTTCCAAAAAATGATTTCCGTACTAGTGACTTAAGTGACATACATAAAATTACGAGAGTAGGCGATGCCAGTGGCGTAACAACGGATAGGCATTGGGGCAGTTGCCACAGGGCGCCGGCCTGCGCCAGTTCAAAAGGGCGCCGCTAAATCTCTAATTGTTTAATTTTTATTTTAACAAAAGGGCGCCAAAAATCAATTAGCCAAGGGTGTCAAAAATCCCAGTTACGCTCCTGAGCGATGCCTTAACATTTCTTATACACAAATGCATTTCCCATGTTGTGTGATTCAGTGCAGCATAAATGAACTGAAAATATAGATTCTTGGGGGTCTAATATATTATTAGTTATAGTATGTATCTTACACGTTAATATCAGAACTTGGTTGTTATCAAATGTACATAGTTTGTCGTTCTCTATTCAAATTACCTTAACACACAAGATGTGGCTTTTCAGACTTTGCATGATACCCCATTGCCCGTTCCTTGACAAAAGTGAAAATGCCGCCAAGGGGACAATCCAGAAATATCGACCCCTCCCCCCCCACCCCCACAAACTCTTATATAATGTTTTCAGTAAGCCACTAATATATATGATTTATGCCGCACGTGGTGGCTGACCCCATTCGACCCCCGGGTACGTCACTGTTTAATACTCAAATATGCCCCGATTTCAACCCTTACAATTATGATAAGCTACCTAAATACAAACAGAATTATTTATTTTTTTTTTTCATTTTTAAACACTTTAATTTTTACTTGTTTTAGTTTGAGTATGCTTTTGCGGTAATTATTATTTCGCACCCCACAAATGTGACAATAAATTTATAATTTTAAATTAAATTACTACGAAATTTTTAATTAATTTACAAATAGAAAATTTCATCTATTCAAAGTGTTTTTTATTCACGAATTTACCAATTAAAAATTTTCCTAGCAACCCTAAGAAGTATTATTTTTAAAATTTATTTTGGTTAGGAAATCATAGGTACACCATTTTTACTGTTGTGTTGTTTTTGTTAGCTCTTCTCTGATAGTATAATTGTTGTTTCATTTTTTTTTTTTAAATCAACATAGGCCTAGATCTAGATTAGATCTACCCCGTTTTCAATAAAGAAATATCAAATGTTTATGTGTATTTATTCAATGTATCACCATCATGTGACGTCACAATAATCAAAACTGTTCGTTTCAGTTCCATCTAAAAAGTGCCGCTATGTTTTCTAACAATTGAATTTAGTGACAGGCGAAGTCTGATATAATCATCCAATGATTACATCCACGATATCGCTTGTCAAACAAACATGCATTTCCGAGATAAGGGATAGTATAAAATATTCTCTCCTAACCGATTAAATTGTACATTATTGTGTTTTGGAGCAAGGAAAGCTAATCTCAATTCTAGCAAACAGTCGGCAGTCGGGTCATGTGATTTTTATTTTTAACTTTGACTTGACAAAATTTACACCCGGTAAGTGATCTCAAACAATAACAATTCGTTTGTATATATCTGTTTATTGGTATTAGTTTATGGAAATGTATCCATTTAACAATATAATCAGACAAACAAAATTTGTGTGTGTGTCATTAATAATTAGCAAATTAGTGCAGTTTTCGCTATTCCATCATTGCCGGACCGGTAACCTCTCATACTCATAATGAGGGCATAGAGTATAGAGCTAGGTCAAAAAGTGTTATCAGGGCCACTGCTAACCTTTGAACTCTATAAATGTGGGTTGGCTTTATAAACCAAAGCAACACACTTTATCTTAGCTTAAATTCATAAACAAGTATATCAATAAATAATAAGAGCTCATTTTCATTTTATCCTCTTAGTCTTTGTTTAACCACCCATTAATTCATTAATGCAAAGAAGACTCATTCTTACTTAGAAATAATATTTTTCCGATTAGCGATTTTCCTAGATAGATGGTAACTTTAACAAAACAATATAATTTTTGTAGTATTATAAATTAATATAAAGTAAAGTGTAATTTAAAATCCACGTCCACTGTCAATATTATAGTCAATAATAAATGAGACATAGACCTAAGACAAATAATGAATTATTTAAATTTTAAACATATTCCTGGTCTTTACCCTGGCCCTGGTACTGGTTAAGTTAAGAATCCATAATACCCCGCCCCCTAAAACTATAGTATAGGCTAGTACTAGTAGGGAGAGATGCTACTGAAACCTTTTAGTTAGACAAGTCAGGGTTGACAACAACTGAACGCCTGTAAGTCAGAGTCCCACACCACAGAGGCAACTCGGAGGTGTCACAAGGGGTTTGCCTCTTCGTGGTGGCGTGCCTTACTAGTAGGGAGGCTCCCCCGAAGCAAAAAACCCCTGCCACTTGCATGACTTCCAACGCTACAGAAGTAACGCAAGAACATGATTACTTGTTGCCGATAATTGACATGAGGCCTGGTTGGCGGTTAAAACCCTTGCTGATGATTTTAGCTACACGGCCCTGAGAAAGCCGCTCCAAGGCGACTGTTTCGTCCCAGCTTTCATCCTGACCAGACAGCTCCCTGGACAGTGGGGGAAGGTAACGCAACACCTTTTCAGCGTTTTCAGTCCACCGGACGTCCTCAAGGCCAGGGGGGAGGGTCCTGATCGGCACGGTCTCGCGGCGGGGAGACCCGGTGTCGGCCCGTGTGGGGGTGTGTTGGGGGGGAAGGGGTATTATGAGCTTGACAACCCACCGACGCCTTCTCCAATGGGATGTTATTAGTTAGGCAAGTAGTTCTCAACCTTTATTACTCTCAGAGTCAGAGCCCTTGATATGACTTATAAATAAATAATTTCTATAGGGGAGCCTCCTAGCCTGTTTTAGACTTACCATATGTCTTACAAGTAAATAGGCCTAGTGTTTAGGAATTGTCTGGAGTGGCCACCTATTGGGAACCACGACTTAAGACAGTGTACCGGGTAACAGCAGAGTTTTGTACAGTTCTAAACTTATATTAAATCTTAGCTAAATTCACACACACATACACTTTTTTTTTCCAAACCCCCTATTCAATGTATCGGTATACTCTTTTCTAGGTTTAAAACATTTAATTCAAATATTTTATTGTACTTCATAAGATGTATCTATTTTTATCCATTATACCTCTATATTCCGGTTAGCTTAAAGAGCTAAAATGTAATTGTTGTACACCTGACACCACATTGTTGTACACCTGACAGCACATTTGAATCAAAGTATGTCATACACTCAAAATGTATTAATTTCAAAATATGTATAGGCTTTGTTTTAAAAAATAACACATTTTTAAAGAAATATTTCTAAGTAAGAAGAAGGTACCGGTAGAGAAAAAAAGTGAAAAAAGCCTTCTTCAGAAACAGTACAAACAAAAATTAATGGTAAAAATAGAAAAATAAAAACTTAGCAGCAATGTTGTATCCCAGAGAATAGCAAGTGGAATATATTTGTATTTTTTACTTTTTGTTTTTAATTTTTGCTGATGAAGGCTTCTTGCCAACATTTAAATTCTTTTTTGGGGTCCTTATCTTAGGTTTTTTCCCTAACTTCTTTTCATCTAACCTGATTGCTGTCTTCCCCTTAATATCATAGGTAAGAATTTAAAATATTTTATTGCAGGGAAGCAACTTGTTTACAACTAATATTCAGGTTCGTTTCACTTAAAGACCCTGAAGGAGAATTAAAAACTGTTTAATTATATTATGCCATCAGTTTGGGTTGTTTTTGTTTCCTTATTTTAGTGTTTCTTGTCTTCCACAGTCCATTTAAATGGTACTCTAGGTCAACATTTCTACACAAATGGCAGAAGAGGAAGTCACTAAGTTCTCACCCAGACATGTGTTACAACACAGAGCATGGGGATGTAGAAGGGCTTTTAGAATAATCCAGTAAGTTTGAAAATGCATCACGTTAACTCATCTAATGAAAGTCTTATACCTCATTTAAACTTTTCCATGTTTTCTATCTTTTATTAATTCATACCTACATGCAATAATTGAGTATTTTATTTAATTTTAAAAAATATTTTTGCTTTTTAAGGAATCGACATAACGGGTTTATTTGGCCGGGGTCTGTCTGCAATCTAAGTTTGGTGGTTGGGGGAATCACTGCAGCCAGATTCAGTCATGTGCCAATAATACAGCCAATCAAACTAAAACTGGAGACCCTTGAAGCAACCATTCTATTTGTTAATGGTAAGTCTGTCACTGGTTACTATTGTTAAAATACGTTCAAGGGATTAGACTTTCACGAGCTGAAATTGTTTATTTTCGTTTAATTATTTTTTTTGCCACCAGTTAACTTAGTATAAGCGTTACAAAAAAGTAATGAAATAATATACCAGTATAATTTTAATGATCTAAATTATATAAATTTTAAATATATAAATAGCTTAAAATATTAAGAATAAACATTCATAGAAATATAGAAGAAAAAAATATTTTTTTAAAATTTATTTAGCAGCCAATTAGCCAACTTTGATTTTTGCAAGTGTTACAGGAAAATAAATTAATATCATCTGGTTAAAAAATAATTTTCTTTCACTTTTCTCTTGTTTCTTTCTCTAGAGCCCCTGAGAGCCCCTCTTGTATGTGTTATAAGTGGACTGGCCCTATTCCTAACCCTGACACTTGTTAGACGCCTAGCCCTCCGAGGCCTTCTGGCATATAGGGCATGGATGTGTATGTATATTTTTTTTAATAAGTAGGCCCTTTTAAGACTATGAATTTGGAAATATGGTACCAAAACTTCATATATGATTCAATGATTGCATGATCATGTGGGTTTGACACACAAATAAGTCTGCTGACTATAAATTTGATTTAATGTAGTATACACTAGTTAAGAAGAGTTGAAGGAGAAATTAATGTGGCAAATCAGCATAACTCTGATTGTCTCCAGCCCCTTCTTGCTCCCCCCTCCCCCCCAACCAAACCAAGGCATTCTTTTTAACATATTCCTCCTGGACTGAAATAACATAGTAGAAAGAATTAGGTAAATTCACTCAAAATAAATTTCTTTTAAGCATATTTTATTTGATAACGTAAGTCATCTACTAAAAAGAAACCCGTACTCTTGCAGCAACTAAACTAACCAGCTTCATCAAATTGTAGAAACCATCTTGTATGAAATCAATGTAGGCCCCGGCCATTTATTTTAATCTCATTTATAGAAAATAATGAGAAAATATGATAAACGAAGGCACATTTGATAGCAAGCACTAAACATCCTGAGGAGAAGGAAATATATGCAAGGAAATAGTTTTTTATACTTTTTTTATACTAATAATATAATACTGGTACTTCCTTATTGTCAGGTAATTTACTTTGTGATAAATATATATATATATTTTTATTTGCAGATGAAGCTTCAACGAAACGGTCAGTGTCCACTACGCTATGGGCTATCCTTGTGAAGTCTGTCCGTGGGTGGAGGCCATCCCTATACAGTCACCAAGTTGTCCTGCCTCGGCTGGCTGTCCCGCCACTGAATCAGACAATAGAAAAACTTGTGGCATCCCTTGAACCTCTGTATACAGATAACCCTGATGGGCTTGAGGAGCTGAGACGTGAATCTAGAGAATTTCTGGTAGGCAGAAAGTTGCAACAAAGTCACATGTTAAATTTCACATTTACATATGGTACCTATTGTTGCTTAACCGAAGCGTTCAATTTTGTATCAAAAATTCAATACAATTTTTTTTATGCTCACTTTAATTAACATGTCGACAGTAATGTTTGCCCCTGTTTTTTAAGTTTGGTCTCTTTCAAACATTTCACATGGTGAATAGAAAAATAGTACAACAAATTTTTGTTCAATTACTATACAAATTATTTAGATAATCTCTAACTTTATGCATTTGATATGGTAAAGAGATCTGTAGGGTCCAATACAATGATGGCCATCATGAGTGTTCAGGGGATTTCATTTCATTCCTAAACAGAAAACAGTCGGGCCAAAACTACAGAGAGCTTTAATAATACGTTCATGGTGGGCGGATAACTATGTCACAGATTGGTGGTAAGTGTCATTCATTTTCTATCACTCTGCACATAATCTACGTATACTTGGGGTACCATCTATATAAATTGATGGTATGTACCGTTCAAAATTATTCGAGGCTAGTGTTCTTTACTTTCATTTAAAATAGTGAAAATTTTTTCACAAAATTTTGATGTTTGTTTTTTTATCAATATATGGTACTGTACTATGCCTTTTAAATTTTAAAAGGATTTATTATAATTTTAAAAAATGTCAAACTTGACCTAATTATCATTAGATACAATGAGATGATAAGAAAATAATAAGATAGTCATAATAAATTTTAAAGATAAAAAATAAGTTTTGTTGATACAAATACAAGTGCAACTGATCTCAGGCAGTGCTTGCATTATATGACCAAGGGAAGGCAGGCAGAATAATTAAGGAGCCTTTGGCTTATACCCTCAATGTGTTAAGTTTTTAAGAAGTCCCCAATAAATCAATAGAGGGTGAAAAAAATAAATCTTTAACTTGCAGTGGGGATAAAAAGTGAGCATGCATGCTTATCTTATGGGACATATTTTACAAGAAAAATATGTGCATTTCTAATTATTGCTTAAAAAGTCCATAAATTTAAAATTGCTAAACAGCTCATTTATAACAATTAACATTCCATAATTACGAACAAGACTAGAAAAGTAATATAAATTGCATTTGAGTTCATTAAATTGTTAATACACCACACCAAAATTTAGCTTTGCATCTTTAACATTTTATAAGTTTTATTTATTTTTTCAAAAGTTTGCTTTTATCAAATTTATAATGTATAAAACACTTCACTTTTAAGTTGAAAAGGTAGTGCAAGATACACTTCAGAAGAAAGGAGTGCATTTGAAAAATAAAGCCATTTTTTAAATTTACAGTTTTTGGTCGTGAACAAAGATAGGTTACGATTTTCTTTCAAAATATAAAAGTAAATATTTGTTTCCCCTTAGTGCAATGTAAATTTCATGGAAAAATAAGGGTACATTTTTATGAGATTAATATATTTCTAAAAAAAAAAAACTCAAGGCTATTACTGAAGTGAACATTGGTTAAAAGATTCTTCTTTTGATATTAAGATTCTGTGTTTCACGAGTTTCTGATAATATAGTAGAGAAGCAAGGCAAAAGTTTGGTTAAATTTTTAAAGAAGATACCAATATGTATAAAAAAAACTTAAATACCCGGCATTAAAGAAATTTAAAATGGTCTATAGAATTTGAGGAATTTAAAAAAAAAATTTTTTTTAAAGTTCAAGGGCACGAAAGGGATAATGGAAGCCTAGACTATTATATGATAGCATTATAGCATATAATTATTTCTAAAAACTAAATGATGTAAGTTTGTTAAACAAAATGCTTAGCTAAGAGGTAATTCTTTTTAAACAAGGAAACTCTGATTAACCATTTCTAAATATACATTTCAAGGGTGTTGAATATTGTCGTACTTTGTGGGGGNGGGGGGGTTTTAAGGATGTAAAAATAAAACATCAAAACCCCATTTAGTACTATATGTAAAAATTAAGGCATGGTTTAGAGAGAAAGGGGGAAAGGAACTAGTGAAGATCTCATGACAAGAAGACGAACCTAGCTATAAATATAGTGATGTAAATGGGCATAGCTTAGTGGACACTAACTCAAATCTTAACATTAAATCATTAATCAAAACCGTACCCTTAAGAAAATAAAGACAAACAAAATTAATATTTTTAAATATATTAAATATCATTTACAAATGACGCTAATACACACAAAAATGAATTTTTATAAACTAATATATTTTGGATGTATTGGCATAATATAATATGATCTATAATGACAGTTATATTCAAATATATATCCAACGATAAATTAACTTATATTACCAGATATATTGATAGAATCAGTGTCAGTGATTTATTTTTACCAAAAAAGACAGTTTATTTGTAAATCCCTTGAGTATTATTTCTAAAAGGGAAAACTATGTTTATCTGATGGGACGAAGTCCGCTGCCTATTAACAGTAACTATTACATCATGGACCAGAGCTACTGGACACCAACATCTCGGCAATGTGCGAGGTAAATTCTTTATGCATTAGTTATTTGATAAAAAAATTTACTCTGCAGACTGCCCACAACAAATTTTTTTGGGGGGGGATCAAATTCTTGAATAAAAAAGATTAATGGGACACAAACAATTTGTGTAAATAGAAACACTATAGGTTAAAGTTAAAGTTTGTTCTATAAATGGAAATATGACTATGAGATGTGTAACGCTAAGAGATGTGTAACACTACTAGATGTGTAAATCTATGAGATGCGCATACTCTGAAAATACTTAATGCTTATGGAGATAAATTTACTTCTTTCAGTCTGAACTTATAACTTGGTCTCTAAATTCTGTTTGAGCAGAGCGGCTGGTGTCTTGTACCAAATTCTCAGAATAAGGGAGGCAATCGTAACAGAGGAGTTGGAGCCCTTGGTTATAAGGGAGACAGTCCCAGTTTGTATGGAGCAGTACAGAAGAATATTCTCTACCACCAGGTGAGGCAATGTAACAACCATTATTGTCTTTGAAAAGTTACAAGTAACATAGTAGTTACAAAAAGGATTCTTCATGGTATCAAATTTTTTTTTACCCATAACAGAAATTTGAAGAACGTGGTCATAAATAGGTAAAACTTAGACATTTTAAGCAGATTGAAGAGGGTGTCACAGTCACATTGACAATTTAAACTATAACCCAATTGTGATATTTTAAATTTTTTTCCTCCCTTCAAAAAAAAAAATTCTGCATGTTCATGTTTACCAAAAAGTTTACTTCTATATTATTGTGATATGTTCAAATTTACATTCATCTAATTCCACATGAGAGCATTATAGTTTTAATAGTGTAGTTCTACATGACTGTTCCAATATCCTTTCATAAAAGCTGACAAAAACACATGTCGCATGATCTTCAAAAGTCCCAACATTAATATCTCCATATTTTAAAGCCATCAAAAGAATTTCAAGGTGAGAATTTCTCTCTAAATAAACATCTAATGTGTTATTTCTTTCAGAGTTCCTGGTGAAGAAATTGACAAGTTGGTCCATTACCCAGCAAGCAAGTCACAGGTCAGTTCTCTTGTTGGTGGTTTTAGTTTGAGTATAGTTTGGCTTTTAAATTCTTTGTACCGGTACAATGAATCCAAATCAACAACAACACTCCCCCACACCACTTTTCCAGAAACAACTTTTATTCTCAGTAAGTTAGTTGATAACTTTATACAAACAAATGTGACTCTTATGACAGAAAGAAAAGAATAATATAAAGAAATGTAGATTTGCATGTACTTAAGTTACCCAGCGTATAACATCCTGAACTCAGAGTCAGGTGACGTTATGATGGGCGTGTCAAAGATATGCCATGACATTTTAGGTGGCATGGCAGCATTAACAACAGTCATGTAATGTTACTATCAGAAACCTTCAGTCATGAATTAAGTGAAGAACTTCAACTGCAATCCCATTATATTTATATCTAACTTTCTTTAAATTAGTTTAGCCCCCCCCCCCCTTTACTTTCAGTTCACATATAAATAAATATATCAAAATAATTGATTTTAGCATATCGTGGTCAATAGACGTGGATTATTGTATAAACTGGACATAACAGATTATTACGGCCGGTTGGTCAGTCCTTGTGACCTTGAGAGACAATTGGAATGGATTCAGGCTGATGCCGACACTAAATATTGTAAGCTTAAAATGTCTGTTTCATCCAGCAACTTGTATGCTATCTCAAGTCATTACTTTTGTAACTACTGACAACTTGTGTTAATTAATATGTTGTGATCTCTCTGGCTTTGCTAGGAGAAAATACAAAGTACCGGTAAATACATTTAACAGAGCTAATGTTTATGCATTTTGTTCCGCTTAGTATTATTTGAAATCCTTCAAGTTTTTGTTTTGCTGCTTTCCTAGCTGAAATCCCAGAGGCAGAACGACTCATCCCAGTGTTGACATCAATTGACAGGACAACTTGGGCCAGAACAAGGTCTCAGTATTTCTCATTGGGTGTCAACAAGGAAAGTCTAGATGTGGTAGAGTCTGCAATAATGTATGTAAGTGATTTGGCCTTACTCTTTTCATGCAGTTCGTCCTTAACATTTCAGCAATGAGTTATCAATGCCGTGATTGAGCCTCAAAGTAGGCCTACTATCTACATCACAGTTTGTTAGAATTACGAGTACAGTACCAAATGTTTCATGTTCAGTGTTTTAGAAGCACTAAACCCTGTCATGTAATGTATGTTAGTATGGTAGCAATCCGCTTATCAAGTTCACTCTCTAATTGGTCCTCAACAGCTTGTGTTGGACACCATTCAGTATCCAGATCTCTCGTCAAGGGCAGCCCACCTGCTGCATGGGGATGTTGGACTTTTCTGGTTTGACAAATCTTTTGAGGTGGGACATTTTACTCTTATAAAATGAATAGTCCCGTGTCTATGTGTGTGTGTCCTTTTTTTAGGGTGGGCGTGTTTAGTGTAGCTGCTTTAAAATTACATTAATAGAAGTAAAATGAACTTAATTTTGGTCTGGGGAGGGGGTTAGTCTGTAGCATTATCAGTGTTGAGGATTTGTTCTGAGTTTTTTGTTTTGGCTTGTGTTTGATACTGATACTTGATTTGTTAGTGAGCGTAGTTGGTATGGAGATTAATAGTGTAGCTATTGCTATGGGGTGTTGGTGAGCTTATTTGGTGTGGAGATTAATTGTGTAGCTGTTGCTATGTGGTGTTAATGAGCTTATTGGGTGTGGAGATTAATTGTGTAGCTGTTGCTATGTGGTGTTGGTGAGCTTATTGGGTTGCAGAAAGATAGAGATAGTGGAAGGAAGAAGGCATGCTGTGGAGTTTATTGTTGAATGAAGAACCGTATGAGATATTGATCTTGGAGTTGTTACTAATTACCCATAGAATAAATAAGCTATTGAATTGCTTATTCAATTAGCAGTTTGTAACAATCACTTGAAGAAAACTGTTACATTCTTTATGATATGATAATTATGTTTTGATATCAATGTCTAACCAAATACAACAGCACTAATAGGTACTAGTGAACTACTAGTAATAGGTTTGTGGACCTGATGATACTTCCAGAAACAACAAGAGGATACTAATACTCGTAAATAGTTCTGTGGACCTGATGGTACTTCCAGAAATAACAAGAGGGTCACTCATTTTATAAAATTTCTTTCAGTTGATTGCCATGACAGACGGCCATGTTGGTCTGAACTGTGAGCACTCTTATGCTGATGCCCCAGCTGTTGGACATGTGCTGGAATATAACCTGACCTATGAGTGAGTACTTGGTCTATTTAAGGAAACTTGGACACATTACGATACTTGCCAGGAGTCAACCTAATGTTATTAGCAGTCATCCAAGACCCATAATTGCCATGACTCCCTGCTTGAATCCCAGAATTTTTAAAAAGATATCAAAGCATTTACACTGTTTAAGTTTAAGCTGTCACAATCTATAATGTGAATTAACCCTGGAACCCACACAGCTTTACAATAGGGAAAATAAATGAAGGACTGCGTTTAAGCCAAATTGTTCACATCTAAATGTCCTTTCTTTTGATTCAAGCGTCTACGTACCTTGTTCTACTATTTACAGTAGGAGCCAGATATGAAATGTTATGACAAGGCTTTTTTGAAAACATTTTTTGGTCCATTTTTAAACAATTTACTCATGATCTCAAATGTCTTAAAGTCTATTCGATTTTCTTGCTAATTAAACAAGCAGCCATTAGCCCTTTAATTTAAACGGTACATATCTTCATGAACTTGGCATCTTGTTTGGGGTCTGTACCTCGAAGTTTTGTTCTTACAATGGGCGCATAATTGGACTTTAAAAAATGGTTGACTCGCACACACATAGCTGCTGATGTTCATTTAATTTAACAATATCAGACCCCATTTGGTTGCTCTAAACCTAATATTTTTGTCTCCCACCTCAGAGTTCTAGGAGGTCTGTATTCCCCCGAGGGTCATTGCGTTGATGTTCAGCCAGTGGGCATTCCCACCAGACTGAAGAGCAAACCAAGCCTGTTGCAATGGGAAGTTGATGCAAAATTGGAAGCTGTCATATCCAGTGCTTGCGTGCAGGCCAGCAAGGTTAGGAATTTTATTATGTTGATTACATGGAGTCTAGAAATGTTGATGTCCAACTGCAACAAAGTTAATTTTGGTTTCTATTATCTAGATATTTCAATCAGTAATTAATATATTTACAGATATTGAACACACCAGTAATTTTGCTGAGAGAAATAACATAAATTTGCCAGCAATTGTATGTCATTGCAGAACATCAAAGACCTTGACCTATTGATCTGCGACCATGACAGGTTTGGGAAAGGTACCATGAAAAAGTGCAAAGTTAGCCCTGACGCTTTCATTCAGATGGCACTAAATGCAACCTACAGACGCCTAACTGGTATCGCTGTCCTTACCTATGAGGTACACAAAGTCCTTACAGGCGTGGGGGTGTCATTCATAAGGGGAATGTGTAGACAGGCCTAGGGGATGTCATTCATAAAGGCAATGTGTAGATGAAAAACAAGAATAGAAGGAAATGGCTTTGACAAATTGTGAATGGAGGAAGTTGGGGAAAATTCAATTGATTGAGCAGCCAGGAGAATGGGGTTTTGGGAATAGAGTTAAAATAGAGATGGGAAAGCCAGGAAGCATTTAAGTTTAAGAGCTGGGAAGCTAAAAGTCAGCACAAGTTGCTAAATCTTTCATCATTTATTTGGAATCAATGTCTTCAATTCCTTCGGCCATTTTCAAGAGGATGACTCTTTATGTATGCATTGCATCCGGGGTAACCTAATATTGTTGAGTGCAATGATAAATCTGTACACTAATGTACAATGATTAATACGTACACTAATTCATAATGAATAATCTTTACAATTTTTAATCTGTGCACTAATGTACAATGATTAATCATTATTAAATTGGAGTACAATTATTAATTTTTACACTAAAGTAAAATTATTAATCTGCACATTATAGTACAATGATTAATCTTTATACTAAAGTACAATGATTAATCTGCATATCTGTCCACTGATTTTGAAATGTTTTCAGGGTCAATCTTATTTTTGTATTTCCTCCATCAGGCAGCCATGACACGCCTGTACAAAAATGGCAGAACAGAGACAGTTCGCTCCCTTACTAAAGAAGCCAATAACTTTGTTGTAGCGTTGCTCGACAGTAGCGTGCCGAAACAAGAGAAGAGACGCCTTCTTGTCACTGCCTGTGACAAGCATACCGTCATGTACAAGGATGCCATGAATAACAAAGGAATCGACAGACACCTCTTTGCCCTTTATGTTGTCAGCCGGGGCCTTGGAATGGTAGGATGACAAGTGGTTATAAAGATGTGCATGGAGTTTTGTAGTTTTAAAAAAAAGCAACTAAATTTCCCTTGTTTAAAAAGTTTCTAAATTCTGAATGTTTTAGACATGATTGTATTCACATTGTCCACATAATTATATAATTCTGATGAATCAGTCTGGTTATCTACTTCAAAATTCCCTTACTATGACCTGGCATCACAAGGCTAACCATAACCCTATTTACAGCAAATATTTGAGAGGAGGGTGAAGGTTATAATCAACAACTATAAATAATTATTAATTTTGAATGATATACTGGTGACATCAAAATAATAAGCCACACCTTTTTGAGAGTAGTCACTTTCAAATATCTAGGAGCTACTATAAATGAGCACAATTAAAAAATGTCTGAGGTGAAAGAAATGATAACAGCAGGCAGCCTAAAAAACTACTACTACTACCGGTACTGCTAGTACTAGGAACCAAAAACCTCTCAAGGAGAACAAAGAAGGCAACATACACCACCAGTAGTATAAGACCAGTAGTGATTTATTCAAATTCAAGTGAGACTTGGTCCCTTACCACAAAACCTGCTCAACACATGGGAGAGGAAAATACTCAGGATTTACATCAGCTGGGGTCTGCAAATGCAGGTGGAAAGCCATGGATCGAACATAAGGATGTGGTGGAACAGGCGAGGGCCCTACATGGGCTTTAGGACCTCTGATGCTGATTATTGAATGATGCTTCACATGGTTTGGAGTGTCAAAGTATCAGCATCAAAGAGTGGATATTTCAAACAGTGGCCTAGCCTCCTCTCCTTATACATGAAATCAATAAGTTGTTTGAGATTAGAAAATTATTTTGGCTGGTGTGTTCGAAGGCCAGCTATTTGCTGATATATTGTAAGATTTGGTTACTTAATACTGATACCCTACAGTTGCTTATAATTATAGAAATATATATATAAGTATAGGATGTGGTAAAGGTATGTTAATAGCCTATAACAGTTCATGTGTATCATCCCACAGGAAAGCGAGTTCCTCAAGAAAGTCTTGTCTATACCATGGGTCTTGTCTACTAGTCAGCAGCCACAACAGCAGGTACTGAATAACTTTTTAATTTATTTGTTTTCATTTTATCACATGACCTAAGAAGTTCAAAGATAAACATGAGTGGACTGAACTGTGTTGCCTTTTCAATAATCATGGTGAGGGATTTATACATGGGCAGATACGTTTATGCCTTTTAATATGCAATCAGGGACATGCATTAACTACCCCATTTTTATATGCAATCAGGGACATCCATAAACTACCCCATTTTTATTTTGCAATCAGGGACATGCATAAACTACCCCATTTTTATATGCAATCAGTGACATCCATAAACTACCCCATTTTTATTTTGCAATCAGGGACATGCATAAACTACCCCATTTTTATATGCAATCAGTGACATCCATAAACTACCCCATTTTTATATGCAATCAGGGACATGCATTAACTACCCCATTTTTATTTTGCAATCAGGGACATGCATAAACTACCCCATTTTTATATGCAATCAGTGACATCCATAAACTACCCCATTTTTATTTTGCAATCAGGGACATGCATAAACATAAACTACCCCATGAATCTTTTTTTTAAAAAAAGGATACCAAATTTGTGATGAGCTATTATGAAGGTGTCTAAGTTGTGGGACTAAGGGGGATTGGGGCAAATTATGTCAAAATAGTATGAAGTCATTTATGTATGGCCGCTTATGGGGTATATTAAAAATGTATGGGAAAATATTTTTTACTTAGTCTGGTCAAAAAAGAATTTAAAATAATGATAGCACAATCTATGATGAGATCAGCCCATTATAGGAAGTAGTTATAATAATATATTTTCGTGTGTCTTGTTGACTTAATTTCCATGGTTGTTACAGATCTCATGGTCACCTGACTGCAATGATGAGAAATACAGCCATCAGCTTTGTCCTGGTGGAGGTTTTGGTCCCGTGGCCACCGATGGATATGGTGTGTCCTACATGGTGCCAGGCGATCGACGCATTTTTTTCCATGTGAGCTCGCGTCGGTCATCGGGCAAGACGAGTTCAGCAGAGTTTGTGGAAGCCCTTAAAACAACCATGAGCGAGATGAGGGATTTATTTACTGCAGATTGAGAGTCCATTTGGCACAGCGTATGAGATCGACCCAGCCATTAATTCAGCCTGGTCAAGTGAAATCATGGGTCAACAACAACATGGAAGCTATCATCATGAAACATTTTAATCCAACTGTTGTGAACCCTTTTCAGTCATTGTACCCCTTGGCCCTAGCGTCACATACCCATTATTAACTGGCAATATAACTTGAATTTCTACCAAAAGAAACTTCACTTACATCTTGGCTCCCATGAGCTTTTGCTTGAGAACTGCTGTTGTTTCAAAGGAATCATTTACAGTTAGTTTACAGTATTTGAAAATAAAAATTTATTGACAAAAAAAATAAGCATAAACAAGCGAGGACAGGCCAACAATAAATAATTTGTAAATGTATTTGCTCATTATTGTCTTTCAATTTATATTTTAAGTATCTGTATTATATCGGTGGCCTCTATTTTACTTACCGTACCAGATCTCACAAGAACAAATGACAGAAAAACTTTGACAAATGTTAGAAACATGTTGTAACATAAGATGCATTGTAAATGTCATCAAGAAAAAGAAAGAAAGAAAGAAGGACTTGTCAAATATTTGTTGAATAACAGTATTTGGGATACACTTATATTTTTTATATTTATAATTTAATATAACCTAGTTCGTGGTATGTTACCATTCCATGTATTCTATGTAAACGCCCAATAAAATTGTGTTTTAATTATAACAATTATTATTAAAATACCATGTTGAATTATTTATATAATAGTCCGGTATAAAAGTTGAGTCAATGCAAGAGTGTGGATGTAGTTGCAGATTTATGGAGGCACACCTGCAGTCTATCACAAAGGCAGGAAAAAAAATATTGACTGTGGCTGTAAACTGTACAAAAAATCTACAATGGGTCCTGCCCGCAATGATTATTTATTTTAAACATTTCTCATTAAAGGTAATTATTTGTGATATGTAAACCTATCCCGGGTGCAGGAATATTTTTACTTTAAATACTGAGAAAAGTGCGTGTGTACAATTGATACTGTTATTAAAACACATGTCTTTTCTGAAATTATACAAAGATATTTTTAATCCCTCTACATAAATTGAAATTTTATTTGCAAATTTGTATTAGTTAATTATTGTTGCTATTGTGTGTGTTTTTGTGTGTAGGTAGGTTGTGCATTTATTTGGTGTCCGGAAACATGTACAAAAACAATTAAACAATCAAATGTTGTTCGAATGGAACTTAGTTCAAATTGACATTTTTTGGAATTGAAATTTGCACTACAGATATTTGTAGAAATGGAATTTTTTAACAATCAAAATATGGTATTTTATTATAGGTGATTTCAGTAAAAGAAAATATTAACATTAAAATAAATGTATGGCATAATTTTGATAAGTTTTGTTATGAGTGCTAATTTTTTATAATACTATTTAAATTTATCGACAATTTAAAATAAATAAATACAAAAAATGTCCATTTGAACAAATCTCCAATAAAAAAAAATTTAGTTCAAACATTCTTTCATACAAAATATTTTTGTATTTAATTCCGGGCACGCATCCATTTTGCTAGCCATTATACTTTGTTACGGTACTCTTATGGCCAAAATATTTTCCCTGTGGAAAACAAAAAAATCAAAATAAATTGTAATTTATTTACATTTTGTTTATTGATTTCTTTGACTGATGATCCCTGATAATAATATTGAAAGATTATGAATGTAGGATGCTTGTTGTGTTATTTCATAAGTGCATAAGTACGGAGGTCTGCATTCATTAATCAGAGAGCTAAATAGGGAGGCCAGAGAGTGAAGTTAATCTCCACTCAACAAAGGGACAATTGAGGGCTACCATTGTGTAATTTAAGGAAGTAAAAGTAAGTATTAAAAGGTCAAAGAGAAAACCTACCTTCCTTTTGCCTAACATGATCACAGTATCCAAATTATTAACCTGCATGTGTTAAATTATCAAATACACTCATTTTTAGTGACGGGGCTTAAAGGTTATGGTCATGTTTAGAGTCCACCACCAGATCTGAGATCTCTGTTAGTTCTGGTCAATTTTGGGAAAAATCAGATCATAAAATTCATTTCTAATAATCCATTTGTTCCGCTCAATAAGTGAGCTCAAAAACAAAGAAATTAAGCTTCACCAATGCTTGTAAAAAAAAAAAAAGACCAGACCCAACATTGTATGTTGTTAAAAACTTTCTGATTTTAATTTCTTAGGATTTGTTTGTTTGCTGTTTCTTTTTCTCATCTTAGAGAAATCATGTACAGAACCACCTTTCAGAAAAATGGATTCAAACCGTACAAAACATGAATACACTTTTGTATAGTTTATCAAAAACATTTATAAGGAAAACATTTGAACATGAACACATTTATTATAATATCTTGATTTATGGTTAAATATATTATATATTTTTTTCTTCAATTCTTAAAGAACTATAAAAAGATAAGAGAAATGAAAATGAAGCAATTAAATTATAAAGTTCACACAACTGCATTGCAATTAAAATCTTCATTTCAACTGTGCATTTTATTTGACAGGCATGAGCACATAGAAAATAGTGCTGAAATTTAAAAATCTGAGCATGACTATTGTCATGCTGATATCGATATAAAATGTGATGAAAATGACAAAATACGAAACATCAATTACGCACCATTTCACACAGAATATTTTTGTGTGTGTAGTGAAGTCAGGTTTTTTGTCATGTGGTCGCTCCATGTTTGTTCTCAAGCAAATATGATGGTCGTCTGATTTAATTATTTTTCACGTGAAGTACCTTAGCAATACAATCTTCAACAGGTTATGGGCCCAGGTAGCTTTATCCTGTGTTTAGTGGCTGCTGATTCGATTTGTTTGTTGTGGTTTGTATTTGGGATCTGTGTTCAGAGAATCACCGGAATGGCTAACAATACATGAACACAAGCATCATTCCTCTTGGTGCAAACTATTCGACCTGGAAAATTCAGTGCCAGGGGGATTTTAAATGGGTCTGAAGTTGCACCTGATTAGGCAGAATCGGAAAAGGTTGCTAAACTTACTATTAGGAGAAATAGGGCTTTGGCCATCATTATGTTGGCGTTGACTGGGTGACTGGGTGGCCGAATGGTCTAAACTGAGCAAACCTCAATTTCAGCCAAAGGCCGGTCAAGCAAAAACATCACCCCGGGTGGATGAGACTCGTTAACCTTGGTCGGCAACTCATCTAAGAGAAGGAAACTCTGAATTCAAACCCGGAGTTGGAGTCCCGTAAGGCGCATACAATGTCCATTCCTGCAACCGTACCCATCCCTGGTCGTCTTGACGTAGAGTCTTGCCACTGGATATGGTGGGCTCGGATGAGAGAGTGAGGTTGACGCTGCGCAACTCTTCCTCACTTTAAACAAAAGTCACCCGCGCAAGTCATCAGTCACCAGACGACTCGATGGTCATCGTCGATCCTCGACGGACGAACAACAACAACAATGTTGGCGTTGGACTATTGTATTTAATCGTAAATCCAGTTGAACCTAAGATTGTCTGGGGAAAACTTAGGGAACAGTTTTAAAAAAAGACATGGGCTAACAGACTGGCGCCAAGAAGGAGATTACTTACAATTAGAATGAATGATGGAGACTCTGTGCATAAAAACATTAAAACTCTAAAAGATGGAACTTGTAACTGAGAGATAGCTTCATGAGGAGAGAAAGATATCACAAAGAAGAGAAGAAGTACCAAGTAGAGCATGTGTGTCAAAAGAGAAGAAAACAAAGAAAGGACCCCAATGGTATCAGTGTAAAAGAAACAGACACCGGCACATTAAACGAGATTGTCCTGAGCAAAAAGGCAAGAATCAAGCAAAAAGATATGCAGACAGCATAGGGCACATTGCACCGAGACCAAGGCTAAGAGAGATTGAAAGCATTGGACTGTTGGTGGGGCATGTTTTAACTACAGTCAATGCTGAGAATTGGATTGTTGGCTCTGGTGCAACAAGCCATATGTGTTGCAAGAAATCTGAATTCATCTATTTGTGAAATTGGCAGAGTCTCTGAATATAGGACTCGGAAATGGACGCAATCTGACAGCACGTGCCTGTGGTATTGTCAAACTAAAAATGAAGTTGCCTGGTAATAAACACAATGAATGCAAGTTGAATGATGCACTTCATGTGTCTGAACTCAAGTATAATCTGTTCAGTGTTGACCGTGCAACTGAGGCTGGAAAAACAGTTAAATTCAATAACCAAGGTTGTGAAATAAAAGATAATAAAGGTAAACTTCTGACAAAAGGAGTACGGTCACGTGGTCTGTACTACTTTTGCCCAACAACCAGTGAGAGTTAAACGCCCACTAAACCAATATGGTGAGTGGGGGGACTGGACTCCAAGATCTAGAAGAACCCAGTACAGTGAGACAGGCTACGGCCAGCTCACACAAGTCTCAGTGGTGAACGGCGATGAATAAAGAAATCAAATCGCTCCAAGAAAACGAAGTCTGGGACTTGGTAGAACTGCCAGAAAGAAGAAAAGCTGTCTATGATGATGATATCTAAGTAGCTGCTAGGAACACTAGGATTCTTGCAAGTGTCAAGAAGGCTGTTTCATCAAATTTGACTCAAAAGATCTTGGTGAATTAATGTTCACTCAAAAGGAAGATGGTATCTGGCTAGGACAGCCAGGTAATACAAGCAAAGTTGTTGAGAGATTTGGAGAGCTAGATTCTAAACCTGTATCGACTCCAACTGATCCAGGTGTGAAGTTGCGAAAAGAGGAAGAAGGTCTTTATTTTGATCATTGACTTTACCAATCAGCGGTGGGCAGTCTACAGTATTTGTCAGCTTTGACCAGACCTGACATTACTTATGCTGTGGGTAATTTAGCAAAATTATGTGCTCATCCATCAGAACACTATGGGATGATAGTAAAACGGATTCTAAGATACTTAAAGGGTACACCGAATTATGAAATTATGTACAGGTATCACAACAATGGATCTACTGAATGTGTTGGCTATTGTGATGCAGATTGGGAAGGTGACATTGATGATCAAAAGTCTACATCTGGCTATGTGTTCATATGGGTTGTGGTGGACCTAAAAGTTGGGGAAGTAAGAAACAATCATGTGTGGCACTGTCGACAGCAGAAGCTGAAACCATGGTGCTTTCAAGTGGAGTACAAGACGCGCTATGACCGAGACAATTTACATCTGAATAAGGTCGTAACCAAAATGTTGCCACTGTTATTTTTGAAGACATTCAGTCAGCTAATCCCTATGGCTAATCATCCAAAGTTCCATGGTTGAGCAAAGCATGTGGAAATAAAACACCATTCTATCAGGGAACAAGTTGAAAATAAGACTGTGGCTCTCAAGTATTGTAGAACAGAAGAAATGATAGCTGATATCCTTACTAAGGGACTGTCTCAGCAAAGATTCAAGATACTCAGAGACATGATTGGTGTGAACCCAATGAATTAATTTTATTTAGTGTTTGGATAAGGCGTTATGAAAATGACAAAATACGAAATATTAATTACGCATTGTTTCATATGGCACGCTGTTTTTGGTTGGGTCGTGACGTCACGCTTTTATGCTGTGTAGTCGCTCCATGTTTGTTCTCATGCAAATAAAACGAACAAACCTTGATGGTTGTCTGTTGATTTAATTATCTTTCCTGTGGAGAGCCTCAGCAATATAATCTTTTCAACAAAATGATGTTGAACAGATTAAAAGTTATGCCAACAGAGATATCAGGGTCCTCATAAGTTACAGCGTTATCATATTTTTTTGAAAAATCAAATTTTATTTTCCCTGCCCGCAATTAAAATAACCAAGGTAGTTTTTTTTTGGGGTACAAAGAATGGTCAACATATTATATACAATATTAGTGTCAGTACTTCCCTCTAGATTAAAAAAAACAACAACTGATATCCTGTTAATTACATGATGAGGTTGTTAAAAACTATGTACAGATAAAAGTAAGGCATGAAATAATCTATTTAAAAATGGTTTAATATAAATTATAAAAGTTATAATGACATTGTGTTTAACATCTAGATATTAAATGATCCCACATAATAATTACAAACAGAATTTTGCAGTGTGCTAGAAGGAAATTCTAACAAATTCACATTAACTTTTCAAAACAGCACTTCTGTTCCCGCAAAACATGCCCAAGTCAAAACTACAATAGACTTGTGTATTGTTTAATGATGGAATTCACCATCATCAATCACCATCATCATCATCCTGTTCTCTTGTGTTTCGTTTGTTTTTACTTGTTGACTTTTTGCTCCCCCTCTTGTTGGTGGCTGTTTGATCTGCCGCCATCTCACTAAGGTGACGGAACTGGTGAATTGAAATAACATCTTAATGTTTTAGATCAACCTTTGCCACTCTGCATTTTAGTAAAGAGGAGAACCTTTGAGTTGCTAAGGCAATACGTTAAATGATGTCAACCAGTTAAAACAAATAGTCCTAACCAGTTCATCTCCAAGAAATACAAGTGTAACTGAGTTACCCTTTTCTTGTACTGACATTGAGTCTCTTCCACCCTACCCCATTTCAGTTCCCTCCTCCATGAATAGGCCATCTATAATGAGTCTCTTCCAACCCATGCCATTTCAGTTCCCTCTTACATGAATAGGCCATCTATAATGAGTCTCTTCCAACCCATGCCATTTCAGTTCCCTCTTACCTAATATGCAAATCTATAATGAGTCTCCTCAGCCTCACCCTATTTCAGTTCCCTCATATAGGCATACCTATTACTATTCTCTTTCACACTACCCCTATTTCAGTTTCCTCTTATATGGACAGGCCCATCTATTATTATGCATTCCAATTCTTTAAAATACAAGTTAAGTGATAATTTTTTTCAATAACATAATGTAGTGTTAATTAATTAGAAACTTTGTCTACATTCTACTACTCTAACATATTAAAAAACTTACCAAAGTGTCATTCCTTCGTATAATTAGTTTAACATCATCAACATTAACATTTGTACGTTTGGCATGTCTGGGAGAATTCAAAGGTATACAAACTTTTACTCTTTTCATATGCATGATATTTATTTTACACCAGCTAAATCTTACACATTAACATTAAAATAGAAATCATTATTAAGAAATGATTACCAGAATGAATATATCAAACAGAAGGACGACTATGAAAATGTTAGGATTGGTTATGCTGTAAGGGGGATGTGTAACAGAAATGTAATGTCACAAAAAAATATGGGGTGAATTAAATCAGAACATTAAAAAAAAATAAAAAGTTACTCATTTTTGTGGTAACAGAAAAATTTTGAAGGAACACTGAAAAATATTGCATTAACGATTTGAAAGAAATAGTTTTCATTGTCAACCATTCAGTTTTAATTTGTCTAAAGAAATGTATGAGAATACCCTTACATGTTCTCTTTAAATGACTGTGAATTACAAAACCTTATGTATATAAAAATAACAATATATTTTATTGAGTAGGGGTTAGTTTCTGTCAGAGTCATATGAATGTTGAGTTCCTTGAAAAACATATTTTTATTAAAATGTTGATGCAAGGACGAATAATTGTACTTGTAATATCTGTGGTAAATTCAGGCACTTAAAACAGCAGTGCAAAAAATAGGTTATATTGTTTTGGTTACTCTGTCTCACCAGCTACAGTTCATATTTAAATCACTTAAGTACTGATAAGTAATTACTGTTTATATTTTCTTTGAGATTTGTCTTAATGGGATGAATGCCCAAAATAGCAGATATATCCATATATATACTTGCTGATTCTGAGGGTGTTTGTGGATCTAAGAATAATGTCCTGATATTTGAACACATGATTACTCCATACTCATAGACACAAAAAAGAAGTAAGCAAAAAAAGTCATGTCTGTATAATATTAAGTATTTCCTTTTCAAAAATCCACACAAAAATTAAACACATCTGTTCATAAAAAGAAGTAATTAAGTGATAGAACTTACTTTGCAAAGTTTTCAAGATCCAGAGCATAACATTCTATCTGTCGATGCAAGCTCTCTGATACTGTAGCAAGAACTTGGGGACTTATAGTTACATCCATTTCTTCCTCAACTTCTTTTGATATTTGCTTTATGCTGTAATACAAGGCAGCTTTACAACTCTGAAATAAAATAAAAACATTGGAGGATGATTTTAGAAAGTCCTGCTTACTACATTTTAAGAATTTTTTTTATTATTTTCTACTTTTTAGTGTGTTTAACTTGTCTTTGATAGAAAGTTGTTTTCTATTTTTGTATTTTCTTCTTTTTAGTATTAAAATTTACAAAGTGACTGGATGGGAAGAGTTGAGTCCTATAAATAATTGCGTTTCTCAGAGTTAAATTTGTTATTGTGGCAATGCGAATGTGCACAACAATCAAGACCTTCTTTTTCCACCCTCTTGCCTGCAATACACCGTTTTCACCAAATTATATTTAAATATATCTAAAGTAAAATAGTTAGTCTGTAATGGTGCTGCACAGCACAGTTATTAACACCAAAAAACTAAGCTGAGACTGCGCTTTGTTCTCCTCTCTCTTCATCTTTGCTGTACTCGCATATTCAATATTTGATCAATAGCCAACAATAAATCTTTAAATTATCGACAAAAGTATAATTACAGTCAAACCCGCTTATCTCGATCTCGGTTAACTCGCCAACCCTGTTATGTTGACGTTTTTGAAGTGGAACCGCCAAATTCTCTCTTTGTCTTAGCATTTTCTCTTCAGTTATGCTGATTCTTTTATGTCGCCGAACCCTGATATCTCGAGCACAAAAGGCGGCCAAATTTGCCACTTAACCTCGGTTATCTTGATCCCTGACACCAATCGCCGGCTTTTGAACTCCGCAAGAAGAAATAGCAAACAACAAATAAACAAGTTTTTCATTATTAAAAATAATTATTTATTTCTCAAAATGCAGGACTTGTATTTTAGAATGAACCTAGAAGTAATTTAAATTAATACGTTTGTTTCAATTTGAGGTTTAGAAACCAGGTAGAGTCCATATTAAAAGTGATCACAATTTGCCGTGTGCGAAACCCTGTCATGGGCAGCCATTCATAGTCACTTGCACAATGACTATGCCGTGGTACTACGACAGAGTTTAATTCTTAAGAGATTGCCGTGTGCAAAAGCTATTAAACCATTGGTCAGGGAACGCTTTTAATTTAATTACATAGTCATGTGCCAAAGTTGAAAACTCAAAATAAGTAATCCTTAAATTATAGTATTTTAGTAATAAGGGGTTGCGTTGCCTTTTATAAACTATATAGTCATTGCGCAAGACATTATCAGCAGAATGAGGTCACAAAATGTGGAGGCTTCGTCCATAGAAGAAAATACCTAACGAACTCGCACTTTAAAAATTCGTAGCTTAAAAAGTACTAAAATTAAAAAGTGGGTTCTGGTTTCATTTTTTAAATTTGAAATTAGCTCTAAATAGTTCTAATATTATTTAACAAATTATTTATTAATTTTTTACTGAAGTACCTGCATTTATAGACGCACATCATGTACATAAGAAATTTCAACTACATGTTAATGTTAATATATTGCTGCAATATTGATTTTCGGTTATTTCAATCATTGGTTTTCCCAACGCTTTTTGGCAAACCCCAAGGCGGTCAACATAACGGGTTCCACTGTATTTACTTTTAAAACATCAAATGCTTATAATTATAAAACCCTGGTTGAAATTACTAAACTTTTTACCTAGACATAAAACTAAAAAAAGTAGATCTGAGCTCACCCACCCAACCAATCACTAAATCAATAATTTGAGCGATGGTGTCAACCGGCCTCAGTCAACCCAGAAGTAAATGCAGTGTTGACACGGCGCGGGAAACACCTTTGCCTTTAATCTTTATTTGATGTAGCCACGTCATGAGAAAAGGATCAACTTAGCAAAAATATCCCACATGTTATATAAAAAAAAAAAAAAGCTCCACCCACACATCTTCAACTTCAAGATGGAAATGCAAGTAGAAAGTCTTGGTCTTAAAAAAATCAAATTATTAGTCATTAGTGACATTATTATTTAGGGGTGTGCCGGATCCGTTTTTTCCAACCGGATCCGGATTTTCTTATGCGAAATCCGCCGGATCCGGATTCCGGAATTCCGGTTTCTCCCAGATTCCGGTACTTTGCAGATACCGGTAAATCTGAGGGGTTGGATGCCTTCTGAACAGTTAGCCTAAATGGCTAAATGACATTGGCTGATTGGAAGTTGGAAGTGAAGAACTTTGAAATAAATTAGAAAATAGAAATTATTCAGAAATCACTGAAATCAGAATAAAAAAACGCAGATTGATAATAAGTTATTATCCATATGTAACTAAACTCGCTGTTAAGTTCTAACTCGCTGCAAGGTCAAAGGAAAACAACTTTACTATTAGTCTATTGCTTTCATTACTTTGGCACTTGCCACTTGGCAGTGTAATTTTTAACTATTGTAGTGCACTAATTGTTTTGAATCTGAGGAGAAAGTCAGACTCATCATCTGAGTTCATCTCGTCTTGTCATTGGCTCATTGGATTGGGCCGATTGGCCACTATTAGCGGTGCTGACTCTAGCCTCTGGTATGTTCGGAATATTAAACATTAAACAAGCTCAACGCTCGAAACAATCGATTAATGTATCGTGATCGTGTGGAATTCGGGAAAGAGAATTACTTTTATTTCAGATTATGATCCGGTGAGTCACAAAATCTGGCAAATTCCGAAATCCGGTATATTCCGGATTCCGGTTGTTCCGGATACATGTAAACAGACCTGTTTACTCTTACGATTTTGGCGTACAATGTACGATTTTTAGGCGTATAGATTGTATATACTGTTAATTTTTTACTATAAATATAACGTATTGAACGATTTTGTGATGATATTCTACGATTTTAAGAGTTTGAGAGTAAACAGGTCTGTGTAAATCCTGCGCAACCGGATAGTGCAAAATCCGGCGGAACCGGATTCCGGCACACCCCTATTATTATTATCATTTTAGTTAAAATGGTCCATACTGCTACTATAACTAATAACTATAACATAAATTATTGTGTCTACCTGCACATTTTCGGTGTTACTTATGTCCATCTGGTCTTCATTCATACTTTACAATTTCAGTAAAATAAAAGCTATAAAAAGAAAACTTAACACAAAATATGAAGTTACAACTCTTTATGAAGATCTAAATAGTATATTGGATTTATCATGGTTACACTAGTAATTAAGTTAATTATCATTCACAGTTTTTGAGATTTGCATTTTGAATTCGCACCAAAAGTGAAGAGTTCCGAAAGAGGACAACAATTTACTACTATTCCAAATATTTTTCTTGTATTCGAAGACTTCTTATTTGAAATGGTCTTTCAGTGGAGATCGATAAAATAGCCTACACAGATATTTAAATTAAAAATAATAGTAATAACGGGGTTTGGAGGAACATTTAATGTTGAAAGATTTCAAGAAAAGTAACTATTCATGTTTATGATGGTAAATAATTGAAGATTTAAGAATATTAATATTATATATATTATGATATCTGAATAAAGTATTATAAAGCATCAATGTTATTCTAACTGAGGTAAAGTATTAAAAAATATACAAAGAAGCAGATGAAAGGTTATAAGTTTTGCTTCATTTTTTTCTGACATTTTTTCAAATCAATTTTTTTATCTTTTTTATTTATTTATTTATTTTTTTTTTTTTTTTTTTTTTTTGCGTTTTAGACCCACCTTCTTTAAACGCTTTTAAGAATAAGATAAATTAAATAAGTGATATTCCTAATTGTTTCTAGATTGCTTATAACTAATTTGGAATTTTAAAATTTAGTAATTGAACCAAAATATTTTCTGCAAGTAAATATCAGAAATGCAATAAAAATGTGAAGTTAATAATAGTATCGTTTATTTAGTAGCTCTTTTTTTATAGGACGTCTGCCGTCCAGTTATGCATGACTGTTTTGTGACCCTCATTTCCGACTGAAAGTCATTAATACAAGTACAATTCAGGAATCAGATATTGAGACAGCAGTGTGTACCACAAATTATAACAATAGACATAATAAATATGTAAGATATAGCTTTTATAAAGCTTAATAATATATTTATGTAGCAACTATATATAGTCAAATTACTCTCATGTAAGTAGAAATACTATCCCTGACTAGCTAACTGAACTCTCGTAATACTGAATCATTCTCTTTTCAATACTACAGACTACACTTTACTCAAACTGAAACATGGTGTGAATATGAATAGTGAAATTCACTTCTTTTCCGTTCATTGCTTGGCATTTAGAATTTAGTCTTAACTGGTGTAAGTCTAATTTAGTAGGATTAGTGAGTAAGACTGCTGGGTATTCATATTCAAATTCAATTACTGCTGCAGGTCTAATTTATGATGAAATTGTCAGTTGCAGTTGAGTGATAATGATAAACAATCACATGGAGTATGATGCAGATTGATTCCTTTAACTTTAATCAGTGTGAATGAATCCAATCAATCAATCAATTATCAGACTGGTAGCTGAAACCGAAAACCAGTTTGAAATCTGGTATATATTATTAATAAATAGGCAGTGTCTACACGTCCGGCGCGCCGGACGTCTATCTCCCGCACTATGTGTCCGGCGACCAAGTCACATGACCGCCGTAACAAAGTGGCGAGAGATATCGTGTCGGTCAGCCTTGTCACGTGACTGCGAATAATTCAAAACTATTGTTAATTTTAAAATCTATTTCTCTACCAAGTAATGTACTGAGTATCTTGAATGCAAATAATAGAAAAAGAAACTTAAGTGAAAGTGGCTTGTAAACATTTTTGTTTAGTTTGTTATTTTTTGTGTACCAGTAATCCATAAAATAAATTAGGGGCCAGTGTGGCAACCAATAAAAGTTAAAGATTTCATTTTAAATTATTTCAATTGCTACAAAATATTTAAAAACTTCTCATGAAACTACTGTTGCTGAGGAACATGATAATATAAATATATACAAAATATTTTAATTAAAATGGGAAGAAAAAAAACGACCCTATCCCCGGTATAGATCCTCAAACATTCCTATCGTCAAGCAACCACTCTACCACAAGACCAGACAAGATGTACTAAATCGTACTTCGTTTGGAATTATAAAAACTACTAGCCGTCCGGCCATGTCCGGCGGTCACGTGACAAGTCGCCGGACGTGTATCTTGCGCACTACACGTCCGGCGCGCCGGACGTGTAGACACTTCGTAATAAATATAAGGGAAGCGTTATTCACACAGTCACACAGCTCTGTGAATAACGTTTAGCGTTATCGGCAGACCGAAATCTGCGAATAACGGCGAGCGTTATCCACACAGCTCTGTGAATAATGTTTAGCGTTATCGGCAGACCGAAATCTGCGAATAATCATATAATGCATTAGAACTAGACTGGTGAAAAATTATTGTTGGGTGTAGGCTATTAATATTACTATTAGTATACTGAACCGTCACGAGTTATTATCTAATTTTTTTCACTATCAATTATAAAAAAGGGCAAATTTATTACTAATATTAGTATGGTAATATCTGTATACCGCTAGTATAATAGTAATAGCCTATTACTATACTAAATATTATGCAGTATAAAGTATATACACAATTGTAGTATAAGTAATATACTTAGTTACTTAGCTTAATCAGTATACGCATACATGGGCGCCCGCAGAAAACTTTCTGGGGGGGG